ATGTGGTGATGGGAAATGCATGTGGCCTTGGCAGGACTGGGTTTGTGGAGATCTTTGGAGGCATGTGAAGGATATGTGCAAGGATGTTAAAGACAAAGAGTGGGGAAATTTTAGGGGTGAGAAAGCGTAGCCACTGAAATAAACAAGGAAAACCAGCTCTGCCTGCTTGGGCAGGAAATAGCTAGTCAGCAAGCCTGCCTGCCTTCATGCCATCTGGCTTCCTCGGGGACCAGCCAGTACCCCTTTATGGGTGTTTGGGTGTTAATGAAGCTTCCTCTTGAGTCAGTGGCAATAAAAGAGGTTATTAAAATTTTTTCAGCCGGGCGCGGTGGCTCAAGCCTGTAATCCCAGCACTTTGGGAGGCCGAGACGGGTGGATCACGAGGTCAGGAGATCAAGACCATCCTGGCTAACACGGTGAAACCCCGTCTCTACTAAAAAATACAAAAAACTAGCCGGGCGAGGTGGCGGGCGCCTGTAGTCCCAGCTACACAGGAGGCTGAGGCAGGAGAATGGCGTGAATCCGGGAGGCAGAGCTTGCAGTGAGCTGAGATCCGGCCACTGCACTCCAGCCCGGGCAACAGAGCGAGACTCCGTCTCAAAAAAAAAAAAAAAAAAAAAATTTCTAGTCCATTCTGTTGTTTTAAGCTGCCGATACTTACATATATTTTTTTTTCACTTCACATTGGCTCAAAATTATTATCCTCATATTCCTACACAGCTTTTGAAGAGGAGACATCTAAGTCGGTCATAGATACGTAACAGCTTAAAAAAAAAAAAATTCCCTATGTAGTGGGTATATATAGTCCCTATATATACCCAAATACAGCTAGAGTGAGAAGGAACCGTGTGAGAGTGGAAGAAGTGTGCCCTGGTCATGAATTTACAGAAGACATGGACTGTGTCTCACTCCCTTAGCCCTGTAACAGTTGGTAATTAATGACCAACAAAATTTGGGTTGGCACGGTGGCTCATGCCTGTAATCTTAGCACTTTGGGAGGCCGAGGCGGACAGATCACCTGAGGTCAGGAATTCGAGACCAGCCTGGCCAACATAGCGAAACCCTGTCTCTACTAAAAATACAAAAATTAGCCAGGTATGGTGGCGCATGCCTGTAATCCCAGCTACTCGGAAGGCCGAGACAGGATAATCACTTGAATTCGGGAGGCTGAGGTTGCAGTGAGCCAAGATCATGCCACAGCACTCCAGCCTGGGTGACAGGAGACTGTATCAAAAAACAAAACAAAACAAAAAACCTTAAGTAGAATCTCACTGTTTATCTAATGCTGCATACTTGACACTGTCAAGCTCCTATAATAGCCATAACTTATAAATAACCAAAACACCTGTAAAAGCAAACAGTGACCAAAATAGCTGAAGGGAGTCTAGGACATGAAAATTGTAGAAGATAACTGTGTGCTTGACCTGTTTTCTAAGAAAACTAGAAGAGAAGGCTGTAAGGGCAGAATTAGCAGAGAAAAGAGAGAGAGGGTGGCCAGGCTCGGTGGCTCATAGCTGTAATCCCAGCACTTTGGGAGGTCAAGGTGGGTGGATCACCTGAGGTCAAGAGTTCAAGACCAGCCTGGCCAACATGGTGAAACCCTGTCTCTACTAAAAATACAAAAATTAACTGGGTATGGTGGTGCATGCCTGTAATCCAATTTACTTGGGAAGCTGAGGCCAGGAGAATCGCTTGAACTGAGGCGGCGAAGGTTGCAGTGAGCTGAGATTGCACGATTACACTCCAGCTAGGTGACAGAGTGAGACTCCATCTCAAAAAAAAAAAAAAAAAAAGAGAGAGAGATGGAGAAAGTAGAAAAGGAAAGCGAGGTGACTGAGTGGCCACAGACACTGTTTACCATCAGAAAGAAAGAAAGATGGTTAAGATAAAACAGAACCTCAGTGAGAGTACAGGAGGCAAGCCAAGCTTCACAGTCACAGAGAGTGAAGATAAGAGGCACGAATTGGCAGGGGTCTGGACTTAGAGGCAGCCCAAGTCATGCGTAATTTAGTGGTTCACAAAGGAGCAGGTGTACTTCAGGTAGAATTGAGCAGTACAGGATGCTATACCGGGCTATGCTGACAAACCATCCCCTAACGTAGACATTTTCTTAGCCCAGTATACTTATGTCTACAGTAGGAGGAAAAGAGATGCTGGGCTTGAAAATGAAATTAAGAAAACATTTTTGGCCGGGCGCGGTGGCTCAAGCCTGTAATCCCAGCACTTTGGGAGGCCGAGACGGGCGGATCACGAGGTCAGGAGATTGAGACCATCCTGGCTAACACGGTGAAACCCCGTCTCTACTAAAAATACAAAAAACTAGCCGGGCGAGGTGGCGGGCGCCTGTAGTCCCAGCTACTCCGGAGGCTGAGGCAGGAGAATGGCGTAAACCCGGGAGGCGGAGCTTGCAGTGAGCTGAGATCCGGCCACTGCACTCCAGTCCGGGCTACAGAGCAAGACTCCGTCTCAAAAAAAAAAAAAAAAAGAAAACATTTTTGCCAGCCATGGTGTCTCACACCTATACTCCCAGTGTTTTGGGTGGCCGAGGTGGGAGGATCACTTGAAGCCAGGAATTCAAGACCAGCCTGGGCAACATAGTAAGATGCTGTCTCTATATTAAAATTAAAACAAACAAAAAAACCTTTTTTATTTTTTTTATAATTTTTTAAATTATTTTTTTATAAAAATTTTTATAATTTATTTTTATTTGTTTTATATTTTTTAAAATTAATTTAAATAATTTTTTAAAATATTTTTATTTTTTATAATCCCACCACCTTGGGAGGCTGAGCCGAGAGTATCGCTTGAGGCCAGGAGTTTGAGACCAGCCTAGGTAACACAGCGAGACCCCATCTCTACAAAAAAATAAAAAATTAAGATGGGCTCGGTGACTCATGCCTATAATCCCAGCACTTCAGGAGGCCCAGGTGGGCGGATAAGCTGAGGTCAGGAGTTTGAGACCAGCCTGGGGAACATGGTGAAACCCCGTCTCTGATAAAAATACAAAAAAATTAGCCAGGTGTGATGGCGCATGACTGTAATCCCAGCTAGTCAGGAGGTTGAGGCAGGAGAATCGCCTCAGCCTCAGAGCTTGGGAGGTGGAAGTTGCAGTGAGCCAAGATCGAACCCACTGCATTCCAGCCTGGGTGATAGATCAAGACTCTGTCTTAAAAAACAAACAAAAGTGCATGTCCTAAATGCCACTGGATTGTGGGGGTTTGTTTTTTGGAGGTTTTGGTTTTCTTTTTTTTTTTTTTTTTTTTGAGACAGGGTCTTGCTCTGTCACCCAGGCTGGAGTGCAGTGGCATGATCATAACCCACTATAGCCTCTGAAATTCCTGGGCACAAGTAATCCACCTCAGCCTCCCAAAGTGCTGGGATTATAGGCATGAGGCTTTGCACCCAGCCAACACTGAATTGTTCACTTTAAAATAGTTAATTTCAGTTGGATACAGAGTTTCAGTATGGAATGAAGAAGAAGTCCTGGAGGTGGGTGTTGGTGATGGTTGCTCAATATGAATGTATTAGTGCACTGAACTGTACACCTAAAAATGGTTTAAAATGATAAATTCTATAATGTACACTTTTCCACTTCCCAAAAAAGATTCTAGCCAGGCACCATGGCTCATTCCTGTAATATCAGCAATTTGGGAGGCCAAGGCAGGAGGATTGCTTGGGCCCAGGAGTTTGAGACCAGCCTGGGCAACATGATGGAACCCTGTCTCTACAAAAAATACAAAAAATTAGCCAGGTATGATTAGCGGGGCGTGATGGCATGCACCTGTAGTCCCAGCCACTTGCTTGAACCCAGGAGGCGGAGGTTGCGGTGAGTTGAGATCGCACTACTCGACTCCAGCCTGGGTGACGGAGTGAGACTCTGTGTCAAAAAAAAAAAAATTCCAGGTGTGGTGGCTAATTTGAAATACGGTTCTCTAAGTTATAAGTGGTCCTGGGCCGAATATGCAGATGAAGTGCTCTCCCTGGATTTGGCTAGATCAGATAGCTTTTGCTGGTGTCCCATTAGTAGGACCAGAGGTACATATATCTGTCACTTTGTGTTTGAAATGCAAGCTTTTTATTTAAAAAGTGAGGAGGGATTCCTTTTAGAACCACATTTTCCTTTTTTGTTGTTTTTGTTTTTGTTTTTGAGACAGAGTCTCACTGTGTCACCCAGGCTGGAGTACAGTGGTGGGATCTCGGCTCACTGCAAGCTCTGCCTCCCGTGTTCACACCATTCTCCTGCCTAAGCCTCCCGAGTGGCTGGGACTACAGGTGCCCACCACCACACCTGGCTAATTTTGTTTTTGTATTTTTAGTAGAGACGGGGTTTCACTGTGTTAGCCAGGATGGTCTTGAACTCCTGACCTCATGATCCGCCCGCCTCGGCCTCCCAAAGTGCTGGGATTACAGGCACGAGCCACTGTGCCTGGCCTTTTTTTTTTTTTTTTTTTTTAATTATTCTCCTTTATCCCCTTTCTCTACTCTGGTTTCCCTATCCCCTGTAAATGTATTTAGTATGTATCCTTTTGTTTGTAAAAGTTCCTGTGAAGCATTTTTGTTTCTGTGTATGTGTGTGGGGTTTTGTTTTGTTTTGTTTTGTTTGAGACAGAGTCTTGCTCTGTTGCCCAAGCTGGTGTGCAGTGGCATTATCTCGGCTCACTGCAACCTCTGCCTCCCGGGTTCAAACAATTCTCCTGCCTCAGCCTCCTGAGTAGCTGGGACTACAGGCGTGCACAATCACACCCAGCTAATTTTTTTTATTTTTTAGTAGAGATGGGGTTTTGTCATGTTGGCCAGGCTGGTCGTGAACTCCTGACCTCAGGTGATTCACCCGCCTCTGGCTCCCAAAGTGCTGGAATTACAGGTGTGAGCCACTGCACTCAGCCTGTGTGTGTATTTTTAGCTTATATAAATAATGTATTAGAGCTTACTGTGTTTTCTTTTTTTTACCAAGTTCATTCATGTGACTGTATTCATCTAGTATTGTTTCTAACTTGCAGAGAACCCCAGTGGGTACATCCCCCACACTTTACCTGCCCGCTTCTGACCCCCAGATTGTCTCCAACTCTGCACCTCAGACATGATGTGGTAAATATCTTTATATCCCTTATCAGTGGATCCCTATGAGAATTTCTTTGGGAACACACACACACACGAGTAGAATTTGTGAGTCATAAAATGCAGTTTTAATTATAAATAAGGCCAGATTACTTCTTACTCGGAACAGCTGTACGATTCTATATCACTATCAGCAGCACGTGAGGATAGAACCTCCAGTATGTTTTCAAAGGGTAACTTTGGTGTTTCATGGACAAACGTGGCCATCAGAAGCTGGTGACACCAGTGAGTGGGCGCATCCAGAAAACACTTTACTGAGCGCAGTGAATTCATTAATTTATTCATTCACTAATCAGTGGAGGGCCTGCTGTGTTTGTGGCCCTGAGGACACAAAAGAGGAATAAGTTTAGTTGCTATTGCAAGTGTATAGAAGGTCCAGAGGGAGGAGCTCCTGGTGGGGTGCAGTCAGAAAAGATTTACAGAGAAGGGAAGATGCAGTGTAGAGAGGAGTTCTAGGAGTTGGTCATCTCAAAGAAAGCAGAAGCTGTGCTATGCAGAGGGACCTACCGCAGTCTTAATTTTTTTTTTTTTTTTTTTTTTTGATCTAGGCACAATGTGGCTTGCTCCTGTAATCCTAGCACTTTGGGAGGCCAGATCACTTGAGGCCAGGAGTTCGAGACCAGCCTGGGTGACATAGTGAAACCCTATCTCTACAGAAAATGCAAAAATTAGCCTGGCACAGTGGTGTGCACCTGTAATCCCAGCTACTCGGGAGGCGGAGATGGGAGGATCCCTTGAGCCTGTGAGGTTGAGGCTGCAGTGAGCCATGATCAAACCACTGCACTCCAGCCTGGGCAACAGAACAAGAATCTGTCTCAAAATAAAAATTGTGATAGTGACCAAGATCAGGAGTACTTAGCTTTTTAAAGGTAATCGGTAGGCCAGGCACGGTGGCTCACACCTGTGATCCCAGCACTTTGGGAGGCCAAGGCAGGTGGATCGCCTGAGGTCAGGAGTTCAAGACCAGCCTGGCCAACGTGGGGAAACCCCATCTGTACTAAAAATTAAAAAATTAGCCAGGCATGATGGCACACGCCTGTAGTCCCAGTTACTCAGGAGGCTGAGGCACAAGAATTGTTTGAACCCAAGAGGCGGAGGTTGCAGTGAGCTGAGATTATGCCACTGCACTCCAGCCTGGACGACAGAGTGAGACTCCATCTCAAAAAAGAATCAATAAATGTAATTGGTAAACAAAGGGACTGTATGGTATTTATAAAATTATTGGTAAAATGATGTTACTGAAGGAAATACATAGAAGTTAAAATAGTTGTGTTAGAGATTTTTCCCTCTTAATGACAGATTTGTCCTTTTAATCATAGTACAGAGGGTGAGAAGGTTCAGGAAAGTGTACATATGACAAACAGGACATTTTGTTATGGCTCCAAATGTAGATAATTTTTCACATGTGTTAAATATAGCTCAGAGGTTCTCATCTGGTGGCTACACACTAGGATCACCTGAGGAGCTTTAAAAGTGAATGGTGAGGCCAGGCACAGTGGCTCATGCCTGTAATCCCAGCACTTTGGGCAGCCGAGACGGGCGGATCCCTTGAAGTTGGGAGTTCAAGACCAGTGCCACTCCACTCCAGCCAGGGTGACAGAGTGAGACTCTGTCTCAAAAAAAAAAAAAAAAAAAAATGAATAATGGTCACCTCACTTCCATCAGAATGGCTAACCAACAGAAAGCACCAGAAAGTAACAAGGGTTGGTGAGAACGTGGAGAAATCAGAAGGCTTGCACACTGTTGGAGGGAATGTAAAATGGTACAGCCACTGTGGAAAACAGTATGTGGTTCCTCAGAAAATTAAAAATCTAATTACCATGGCCTGGCAATTCCACTTCTGGATATATGCTCCAAGCAAATGAAAGCAGAGTCTAGAAGATATTCTTGTTCACCATGTTCATATCAGTATTATTCACAGTAGCTAAAACGTGGAAGCAATCCAGGTGTCCATTGATAGAGGAATGGATCAGCCATACAATGGCGTATTACTCAGCCTTGAAAAGGAAGGAAGTCCTGACATATGCTACAAGTTTCGTAAGGGTGAACCTTGAAGGCATTATGCTAACCGAAATAAGCCCGTGACAGAAGCACAAATAATGTATGATTTCACTTATATGAGGTATCTAAAGTAGTCAAATTCATAGAGACAAAGTAGAATAATGGTTGCCAGGGGCTGGGGCGGGGGTAGAGGGAATGGGAAGTTATTATTTAATGGGAATAATGGGTATTATTTAATGCGTTTTTAGTTTTGCAAGGTGAAAAGAGTTCCAAGATGGGTGGTGGTGATGGTTACACAACAATGTAAATGTATTTATTTATTTACTTATTTATTTTATTTTATTTTATTTTGAGACAGATTCTTGCTCTGTTACCCAGGCTGGAGTGCAGTGGCTTGATCTCGGCTCACTGCATCCTCCACCTCCCAGGTTCCAGCAATTCTCCTGTCTCTGCCTCCCGAGTAGCTGGAATTACAGGCACGTGCGACCAGGCCGGCTAATTTTTGTATTTTTAGTAGAGATGGGGTTTCACCATGTTGGTCAGGCTGGTCTCGAACTCCTGACCTCAGGTGATCCACCCTCCTCTGCTTACCAAAGTGCTAGGATTACAGGCGTGAGCCACCGCGCCCAGCTGTAAATGTATTTAATACCACTGATGTATATACTTAAAAATAGTTAAGATGGGCCGGGCGCCGTGGCTCACGCCTGTAATCCCAGCACTTTGGGAGGCCGAGGCGGGCGAATCACAAGATCAGGAGATCAAGACCATCCTGGCTAACTCGGTGAAACGCCGTCTCTACTAAAAATACAAAAAATTAGCCGGGCGTGGTGGCGGGCACCTGTAGTCCCAGCTACACAGGAGGCTGAGGCAGGAGAATGGCGTGAACCCGGGAGGCGGAGCTTGCAGTGAGCCGAGATTACGCCACTGTACTCCAGCCTGGGCGACAGAGCGAGACTCTGTCTCAAAAAAAAAAAAAAAAAAAAAAAAAAATAGTTAAGATGGGCTGGGTGTGGTGGCTCACACCTGTAATCCCAGCACTTTGGGAGGCCAAGGTGGGTAGATCGCTTGAGCTCAGGAGTTCGAGACCAGCCTGGCCAACATGGCGAAACCTTGTCACTACCAAAAATACAAAAATTAGCCGGGGGTGATGGCACACACCTGTAATCCCAGCTACACGTGTGGCTGAGGCAGGAGAATTGCTTGAAACCAGGGAGGGGGAGGTTCCAGTGAGCCGAGATTGCGCCACTGCACTCCAACCTGGGCGACAGAGTGAGACTCTGTCTTTAAAAAAGCAAAAAATAGGCCGGGCACTGTGGCTTATGCCTGTAATCCCAGCACTTTGGGAGGCCGAAGTGGGCGGATCATGAGGTCAGGAGATCGAGACCATCCTGGCTAACATGGTGAAACCCCATCTCTACTAAAAATACAAAAAAAATTAACCGGGCGTGGCGGCGGGCCCCTGTAGTCCCAGCTACTTGCGAGGCTGAGGCAGGAGAATGGCGTGAACCCAGGAGGCGGAGCCTGCAGTGAGCCGAGATCACGCCACTGCACTCCAACCTGGGCAACACAGCAAGACTCCATCTCAAAAAAAAAAAAAAAAAAGTGAATTTTATGTCTATTGTACCACAATTTTAAAAATTACATTAAAGTTTAAAAAGAGAAAAAATGATGATGATGTGGCCCACATCGCTCTCGTCTGATTCAGTGGGTCTAGGGTCACCAGTGACGGTAATACAGAGTGGGGAGCTGCTGGTTTAGCTGAGGGAAATGTTGGATGGGGAACCTGGATATTCTGAGCACACCTACATCTCGTCTTGGTTTTCTCACATGACATTGATCCCAAGCAAAGGACTTTTGTTTGGTTTTATTATTTATTGTATAACCCTTGTGATCAGAAGAAAAACTCTACAATGAATAAGGCATAATCATGTCTCAGAAAATTTGGCAAAGTTCAAAAAAAATTGAAAAGAAACAAAAATCATTCATAATCCCATCCACCTCAGCAGCAAATTCAGTAGTGTTCTGGTCCTTCTACAGCATTGAATAGAGATATTTTTATAGATATATTACAGATATCCTTATATATTCTCATACCTATTATACTTTTGTGTGCTTTTAAAAAAAAAACCCATACTTCTAATAGTGTGTGTTTTCCCCTTTCAGTGACTATGTGGTGAATGTCTTTCAGGTTATTGAGGGCCTTCTACTTCATGGTTTTCGGTAGCTCCACAGCATTCTTTGTCTAACCCATTACTTGTATTGGACATCTAGATTGTCTCCCAGTTTTTCATTATGATAGCCAATGCTATAGTAAATATCTGTATACAAAAAAACCTTTTTTGAGACAGTCTCACTCTGTTGCTCAGGCTGGAGTGCAGTAGCACTGTCATAGCTCACGGCAGTCTGGACTCCTGGGCTCAAGCGATCCTCCTACCTCAGCCTCCCAAATAGCTGGGACTATAGGCACATGCCACTATGCCGGGCTAATTTTTTTTTTTTTTTTAAAGTAGAGCTGGGGGTCTCACTACGATGCTTATGTTGGTCTTGAATTGTTGATCTCAAGCAGTCCTCCTGCTTTGGCCCCGCGAAGTGCTGAGATTGCAGACACATGAGCCACCACACCCAGCCCAATAAAATCTTTTTAAGCATACGTTTTATTTTAGCCAGTTTGATGGAAAAAGTTTTTTGGTATTTTTTTTTTCTAGTGAGCATTTTCCTATGTTTGCTACCATAAAAATTTTAATTATACTTAATCTATGTAGCAATTAGTTCTTTCACTTTCCTCTTGAACTGGTTTTTGTTTTCCATTCTTTTTTTTTTTTTTTTTTTTGAGATGGAGTCTTGTTCTGTCACACATGCTGGAGTGCAGTGGCACAATCTCGGATCACTGCAATTTTCACCTCCCAGCTTCAAGTGATTCTCCTGGCTCAGCCCCTCGAGTAGCTGGGACTACAGGCGTGTACCACCATACCCGGCTAATTTTTTATATTTTTGGTAGAGACGGGGTTTCACCATGTTGGCCAGGCTGGTCTCGAACTCTTGACTTCAAGTGATCCGTCCGCCTCAGCCTCCCAAAGTGCTGGGATTACAGGCATCAGCCACCGCACGGGACTTCCTTCCTTCCTTCCTTCCTTCCTTCCTTCCTTCCTTCCTTCCTTCCTTCCTTCCTTCCTTTCTTCCTTCCTACCTTCCTTCCTTCCTTCCTTCCTTCCTTTCCTTCCTTTCCTTCCTTCCTCCCTTCCTCCCTCCCTCCCTCCCTCTCTCCCTCCCTTCCTCCTTCCCTCCCTCCCTTCCTCCTTCCCTCCCTCCCTTCTTCCTTCCCTCCCTCCCTTCCTTCCTTCTTTCCTTATTTTTTTTTTTAGACAGAGTCTCCCTCTTGTTGCCTAGGTTGGAGTGCAGTGGCGCGATCTCGGCTCACTGCAACCTCTGCCTCCTGAGTTCAAGCAATTCTCCTGCCTCAGCCTCCCAAGTAACTAGGACTACAGGCATGCACCACCACGCCTGGCTAATTTTGTATTTTTAATACAGACGGGGTTGGCCGTGTTGGCCAGGCCGGTCTCGAACTCCTGACCTCAGATGATCTGCCCGCCTCAGCCCCCCAAAGTGCTGAGATTACAGGCGTGAGCCACCGCGCCTGGCTGCTGCTGCTTCTTTTTTTTTTTTTTTTTTGAGACAGTGGAGTCTCACTCTGTCACCCAGGTAGGAGTGCAATAGTGTGATCTCGGCACACTGCAACCTCTGCCTCCTGGGTCAAGTGATTCTCCTTCCTCAGCTTCCTGAGTAGCTGGGATTACAAGCATCTGCCACCATGCCTGGCTAAATTTTTTTGTATTTTTAGTAGAGATGGGGTTTCACCATGTTGACCCAGCTGGTTTTGAACTCTTTACCTCAGGCGATCCACCCACCTTGGCCTCCCAAAGTGCTGGGATTACCGGTGTGAGCCACTGTACCTGGCCTCCACTCTTCTTTTTCTTTGTCATATATAGAATCATGAACTTTTACAGCAAGAAGGAACTTTAAAGATCAGTCACTCCCCTTATTATACATTTAAGGCCTTGAAGGTTGAATGGTTTGACCAGGGTTACACAGAAAATTAAGTAGCAGAACAGAGACTTAAATCCAGCTTTATTCATTTTCCGTTTTTCCTCCTATCATTCAGTCTCCATGGAAGAAGAAGATTCTACAGTTTTTAATCTTGGAACAGTATTTGTTTTTTCTTTCGAGACAAGGTCTTGCACTGTTGCCCAAGCTGGAATGCAGTAGTGCAATTATAGCTCACTACAGTTGTGAAATCCTGGGCTCATGTGATCCTTTCACCTCAGCCTCCCAGGTAGCTAGGACTACAATGAGCGCATGCCACCACATCCAGCTATTTTTAAATTTTTTTTTTTATAGAGATGACATCTCGGCCGGGCGCGGTGGCTCAAGCCTGTAATCCCAGCACTTTGGGAGGCCGAGGTGGGTGGATCACGAGGTCAGGAGATCGAGACCATGCTGGCTAACACGGTGATACCCCGTCTCTACTAAAAATACAAAAAACTAGCTGGGCGTGGTGGCGGGCGCCTGTAGTCCCAGCTACTCGGGAGGCTGAGGCGGGAGAATGGCGTGAACCCGGGAGGTGGAGCTTGCAGTGAGCCGAGATTGCGCCACTGCACTCCAGCCTGGGCAACACAACGAGACTCCGTCTCAAAAAAAAAAAAAAAAAAGACATCTCGCCATGTTGCCCAGGCTACTCTCAAACTCCTGGCCTCAAGTGATCTTCCCACCTTGGCCTCCCAAAATGCTGAGGTTACAGGCGTGCGTGAGCCACCATGCCTGGCCTTGAGCCGTATTTCATTTGTGCTTTTCTGGCAGAGAACTTGTTGCTTCCTTATTTGAAAGTAGCCTTCGCACCACTGCACTCCAGCCTGGGCGACAGAGTGAGACCTGAAAAAAAAGAAGAAGAAAGTAGCCTCAGCTGAGTGTCTTCTCCAGTAATGACCAGTGTAATGCTTGCTATTCTAGGAGCCATGTCTGACCAGGACGTTTGGAAGATCATATCCATGCCAGAGGCTCTTGTGAGGAGATGAGTTGGTAAAGAGAGAGGCCGGGATGAAGATGCTGCCAGGAGTGGGCGTGTTTGGGACTGGCAGCTCCGCCCGAGTTCTGGTCCCACTGCTGAGGGCAGAAGGGTTCACTGTTGAGGCCCTGTGGGGGAAGACTGAGGAGGAGGCAAAGCAGCTTGCTGAGGAGATGAACATCGCCTTCTATACCAGCCGGACTGATGACATCTTGCTGCATCAAGACGTGGATCTGGTGTGCATCAGCATCCCCCCTCCACTCACCCGGCAGATATCCGTGAAGGCTCTAGGTACGCCCGGCAGGCCACGGCAGGGGCAGATCGTGTCTCCCTCTGGGCAGACTTCTGAGGGTCACTCCCCTCCTCTGAGCTCTCCTTCCTAGGCTTGCATCTGCAGGGAGGAGAACTCTGGGACATCACTTGTCCCTGAAGCAGTGCTTGGGGAGGGCATATTGGGAGTTCTTATAACTATAGGAGAAAAAAGACATAGCCTAACCTACCTCCCATCTATAAATCCCTGAACAGAAATTAAGGAAATACTCTAAGAGACAGCTATCAAGGGGCTGGAGATGGTTCATAAACTTTGAGGTTTATGTGAAGTTAAGAGGTCCGAGCCCTGGGCGCCGGGGAATTGCTTGTGACTGGTGTGTTTGTTCTCCCATTTCTGGGGCACACAGCACCACAGGAAGGAGAGGCTGTGTAGCAAGGCTACCATTTCCCATGTTTTGTCAGCGTTTGACTATAGTGAGCACACACCCTTCCTGCCGAATTGCAGTCTTGTATTGCCGGAGGACAGGAAGGCTCTGACAGCATTGGCTTCCCTGACAAGATCCGTTGACAGCCTGCTCACATGACATCTCCACTCCCTTGGGAAATTTTGGCTTGGTAACCTCCTGCCCCTAGCTGGGCGTGGCCTGCTGAGCTGTTCTCCTGCAGTTCCCATTGGTCTTCTCTTTCTAGTCAACTGGAGTCAACTTCTTCTCTTTATCTAATATAAATCAGAACCTAGTTTAGTAAGTAAACCAGTAAACATTCAGCCAGCAATTTTTATTTTAGTTTAGTTTAGTTTAGTTTAATTTAGTTTAGTTTGAGACGGAGTTTCACCGTTGTTGCCCAGGCTGGAGTGCACTGGCGCGATCCCAGTTCACTGCAACCTTCGCCTCCTGGGTTCAAGTGATTCTCCTGCCTCAGCCTCCTGAGTAGCTGGGATTACAGGCACCCGCCACCATACTCAGCTAATTTTTGTATTTTTAGTAGAGACAGGGTTTCACTGTGTGAGCTGGGATGGTCTCGAACTCCTGACCTCAGGTGATCCATCCGCCTTGGCCTCTCAAAGTGCTGGGATTACAGGTGTGAGCCACCATGCGCAGCCTTTTTTTTTTTCTTTTGAGACGGAGTCTCGCTCTGTCACCCAGGCTGGAGTGCAGTGGTGCAATCTCCCCTCACTGCAAGCTCCGCCTCCCGGGTTCACACCATTCTCCTGCCTCAGCCTCCCAAGTAGCTGGGACTACAGGTGCCTGCCACCATGCCCGGCTAAATTTTCTGTATTTTTAGTAGAGATGGGGTTTCACTGTGTGAGCTGGAATGGTCTTGATCTCCTGACCTCATGATCCGTCCGCCTCAGCCTCCCAAAGTGCTGGGATTACAGGCGTGAGCCACCACGCCCGGCCTACATTTTATTATTATTATTATTATTATTATTATTATTATTTTAATTTTTTTAGATGGAGTCTCACTCTGTTGCCCAGGCTGGAGTATGCATTGGCACAATCTCGGCTCACTGCAACTTCCACCTCCCAGTTCAAGCGATACTCCTGCCTCGGCCTCACAAGTAGCTGGGACTACAAGCATGTGCCACCATGCCTGGCTAATTTTTGTATTTTTGGTAGAGATGGGGTTTTGTCATGTTGGCCAGGCTGGTCTTGAACTCCTGACCTCAGGTGATCCACCCGCCTTGGCCTCCCAAGGTGCTGGGATTACAGGCATGAGCCACCACACCCAGCCTCAATTATTTTTTTTAGTGCCTCCTGTGTGCCAGTCACTGTCCTGATGTCATTTTGGACATTCAAAGCTGTGTTAGATTGGACCCCTCCCTGCCTTCAGATTTTATAGTCCAATTGAGGCAACTAGAAATAACACACATTACAAGGTAGATGACAGAAGACATAGTCACAATTCAAGTAGCATATACTTACTTGACTGAGTCACTGTTTTATATGAGGTGACAGGAGCCAAGTGTCTCTTTGATGCAGCTGAAGATCTCTAGGTCCAGGAACTGGTGCCATGAGGCTGTCCTCCACTCTTCCTGACCACTGCCATGGTGGAAAACCTCGGGGTCTGCTACTTATCTCTCCCTCGTTCTGAGGAGTGTCATACGAAGGTGTCTGTCATCTCTGGTCCTGTGAGTGGGGAAGGATAAATGTTCATTGAAGTGAGAAAGAACTTTAGTCTGTCTGGTTGTCAATTTGGAGCAAGTAAGTTTTGGCCTTATTGTTTGTTTCTTCCAGAGAGCTCTCTCTGAGGATGTGTGACATTGGAGTTATTCATTCATTGGTCACCAAATACTTGGGAGGTCAGACGGTGGCTCCCAGATTGAATTCAGAAATAGACCTAAGTCAACACTTTAGCAGCAAGTTGGTTCAAGGGGAAGCAAGCCGCTATGGTCACTTGACTCCTTGCCATCCCTTGTGGCTTGAATGCAGGCTGGAAAGGTGAGGTGTGTCCAGAGCCAGAGCCCTGGAGGCTCTCTGTCTTCTTCCTGAATTTTAGGGTTTGCCACGGAGACCATTTCCAAGCTGTACAGGAGGAAGGAGAAAACTCCAGGGTTCTTTGGCAGCAAGCTTGCTTTTTTTCTGGTTCTTGGTATGCTCCACCAGCAGCATCATCACCTGGGGTTTGTTAGAAATCTGAATTCTCAGCCGGGTGCGGCGGCTCACACCTTTAATCCCAGCACTTTGGGAGGCCGAGGCGGGCGGATCGTGAGGTCAAGAGATCGAGACCATCATGGCCAACATGGTGAAACCCCGTCTCTATTAAAAATATAAGAATTAGCTGGGCATGGTGGAGGGCGCCTGTAGTCCCAGCTACTCAGGAGGCTGGGGCAGGAGAATCGCTTGAACCCGGGAGGCGGAGGTTGCAGTGAGCCGAGATCATGCCATTGCACTCCAGGCTGGGCGACAGAGCGAGATGCCATCTCAAAAAAAAAAAAAAAAAGAAAAGAAAGAAATCTGAATTCTCAGCTAGGCAACATAGTGGGATCCCGTCTCCACAAAAAAAGTTTAAAAGTTAGACAGGCATGGTGGCAGATGACTGGTGCCAGCTACTCGGAAGGCTGAGGCAGAAGGATCGCTTGAGCCCAGGAGATAGAGGCTGCAGTCAGCAGTGATCATGCACTCCAGCTTGAGTGACAGAGTAAGACTGTCTCAAAGGCAAACAAACAAAAAGAAATCTAAATTCTTAGGCCCCACTCCAAACCTACTGAATGTCTGGGATCCAGCTATCTTTGCCTGAACAAGCCTTGCAGGTGACTCTGGTGGACATTAAGGATTGAGAGCCACTGATCCAATCATTTTGAATTAAACTGAGGCCCAGGAACATTAAGGAATGACACCTTGGTTACATTTCACCAAGTCTTCGTGCTGTGATTTTTCTCTCCTTGCTAGAGCTTTGTATTTTTACCTTACTTCTAAGGCCATGAGATCATTTCTTGCCCTTGTTGTTATTAGTTTTTCCTAAAATTAATGATTGAACTTACCTTCCAGAGATAGACTTTTCATATGACAGCTCTTTTTATGGCATCTTGTTTTCTGCTTTGGTCTTCATCTTCTACCTCCGATTTTATCCTTAAAGCTTTCCTGTCAATTTCTTAAAGGGGAGAGGGGAAGAGCCCTAATATATTTCATTCTTCAGTTCAGAAGTGGTTCAGGAAATTGTATTTTAAGTGCAAGATGCCCCAGCATTTTTGCCACAGTTGAATGTTTTCTTAAGTCTGTCACCTTTAAAAGGTGGGCTTCTGTGCCCAATTCTTGGCACTTCTGTGGTTCATTAGAAAAACACTTTGCAGGCCAGGCGCAGTGGCTTATACCTGTAATCCTAGCACTTTGGGAGGCCGAGGCGGGCAGATCACGAGGTCAGGAGTTCGAGACCAGCCTGACCGACGTAGTGAAACCTCGTCTATACTAAAAATACAAAAATTAGCTGGGTGTGTTGGCACGCGCCTGTAATCCCAGCTACTCAGGAGGCTGAGGCAGGATAATCGCTTGAACCCAGGAGGCGGAGGTTGCAGTGAGCCGAGATCACACCACTGCACTCCAGTCTGGGCGACAGAGTGAGACCCCGTCTCAAAAAAAAAAGAAGAAAGCATTTTTGTAGAGATAGGATCTCACTATGTTGTTCAAACTGGCCTCAAACTCCTAACCTCAGGCAATCATCCTACTTTGGCCCCTGCAAAGTGCTGAAATTATAGGTAGGAGCCACTGTGCCCAGCAGATTTCAGCTTCTCTAATCTCTCCCTTGACTTCCTGGCAGGAAAGCTAGATAAACTCAGGTAGACATGTCTTTCATGGCTACCCAAAGACCCTGTACAACTAGCCCGCAGGAGCCTGTTTAACTCAAGATGTCCTTTCAGTCCCACACTGATACTATTGGGTCCTAAGTTTAAGCATGCTGTTGTTCAGGGTTGGGCACGGTGCCTCACACCTCTAATCCAGCACTTTGGGAGGCCAAGGCGGGCAGATTGCTTGAACTCAAGAATTAAAGACCAGCCTGGGCAACATGATAAAACCCCATCTTTACCAAAAATACAAAAAATTAGCTGGGCACAGTGGTGTGCACCTGTGGTCCCAGGTACTTGGGAGGCTGAAGTGGGAGGTTAGCTTGAGCCCAGGAGGCAGAGGTTGCAGTGAGCCAAGATTATACCACTGCAGTCCAGCCTGGGTAACAAACAGGACCCCATCTAAAAAAACAAAAGCATACTGTTTTTCAGGTTCAAGAAGAGAGGTCTTTCTCCCTTTCCTCACCTCTTGAGGCATGAAACAGGGATTCCTTATCCTAGTTTTATTACCACCAAACTCCAAGCAGTCATAAAAGTCCTTTTTCCTCTCAACCCACCTCCTCGCTGCCTCACACTGCAGTATCCACTCTGTCGCCAGCAGTGAGGCATTATAGCAGGAGGCTTCTGCAAGACCCTGTCTCCTAAAAAGAGGAAGAAGAAACTAAATCAGATTTTCAAAATACAGAACATAGAAATTATTTACCTGGGGCTGACGCGATGGCTCACGCCTGTAATCCCAGCACTTTGGGAGGCCAAGGTGAGTGAATCACCTGAGGTCAGGAGTTCAAGACCAGCCTGGCCAACATGGTGAAACCCCGTCTCTACTAAAAATACAAAAAAATTATCTGAGCATGGCAGCAGGCGCCTGTAATCCCAGCTGCCTCGGGAGGCTGAGGCAGGAAAATGGCTTGAACCCGGGAGGCAGAGGTTGCAGTGAGCTGAGATCGCGCCATTGCACTCCAGCCTGGGTAACAAGAGCAAAACTCTGTCTCAAAAAAAAAAAAAAAAAAAAAAAAAGGAAAATAAAAGAAATTATTTACCTGGAAAATGTAGTTTCTATGTGAGTCTTATTTATTTTATTTATTTATTTATTTATTTATTTGGGACAAAGTCTCATTCTGTCGCCCACGCTGGAGCGCAGTGGCTTGATCATAGCTAACTGCAGCCCCAGTCTCCTGGGCTCAAGGGATCCTCCTACCTCAGCCTCCCAAGTAGCTGGGACTACAGGTACATGCCACCATGCCTGGCTTATTTTTTATTTTTTTAAAATAGATACTAGGTCTTGCTATGTTGCCCAGGCTGATTTTGAACTCCTGAACTCAAGTAATCCTCCCATCTTGGCCTCCCAAAGTGCTGGGATTATAAGCGTGAACCACCATGCCCAGCCAAGTCTTAATATCCAAGTTGCAATGGGCTTTTTTCTTCTGTATTTGTGACATTGGCTGAATCCCTCCCTTGGTGATGGTAGTAAAATGTACTGTTGACAGAGCTGTACTGAGCCAGGTACTTTACATATGCTGCTTTGGTTAACTTAGTCCTCCTTTCTTCCCTGTAACTGTAAAATCCTGCTTTACGTTAACAGTAGTAAACAAAAACCCAGAGAAGTTTAGAAATTTCCCAGGTCATCTAGCAATGAAGTGAGAGAGCCAAGATTTGAGCATAGGAATTTCTGGCTCCAAAGCTTGAGTCCAGCACCAATAATTGACTCTTCCTGGGCAGTCAGTTGTCTTGGGGCCCATCCATCACGTGGGACATCGGCCACTTCTTTTTTTTTTTTTTGAGACAGAGTTTCGCTCTTGTTGCCCAGGCTGGTGTGCAATGGCACAATCTCAACTCATTGCAACCTTCACCTTCTGGGTTCAAGTGATTTTCCTGCCTCAGCCTCCCGAGTAGCTGGGATTACAGGCATGTGCCACCACACTCGGCTAATTTTGTATTTTTAGTAGAGACAGGGTTTCTTCCTGTTGGTTAGGCTAGTCTCAAACTCCTGACCTCAGTTTGTCTGCCCACCTGAGCCTCCCAAAGTGCTGGGATTATAGGCGTGAGCCACCATGCCCAGCCGAGACATCGGCCATTTCTATAAAGTTTTCTTAGTTTTTTGTTGCAAGATTTATTGTCTGTAGTTACTATTGTTTCTGCTGCAAGCTGGCCCCACCTGAACCTGTGTGGAAAGAATCCATCTTGGTCCATCAGGGTAAGCTGCACCCTGCAGTGAACCATCAGAAATAATCTGTGTCTTTACCATTGCCCCATCTGAAAACATTCAGAAAATGTTCAGGGGCCTGAGGGAAGATGGAACACCATGGTTATTGAAGATGCACATACCTGGAGAAGGCACACTCTTGACTCGGTTACCCCAGGTCACAGGCATCCAGGCCTAAGGCTGCCCCTCCAACCAGGAAGTACCTGTGGAGTGCCAGAGTGGAGCCTGGATGGCCATGGGGGAGAAGCCCAGGTGCACACATTGCCCAAATGGGCTTCAACTAGAAGGGTAAGCACACGAATTAATCCAGACCAAGACTTGGTATTCCGTTTTCCACATTGCATATAGGCTCTGTGTAATGCTTTCAGTCTCGTTTCCTAACCCAGCCCTGCCTTCTCAGTCCTTCAGCATTTTGTGATCATTGCCTCTCCCCAGTCACCAAGTCCTTCTGCATAGCAGCTCCCGTCTCTCATTCAGTGGCTAGAGCAGGATGAGCAGCTGAAAGACCACAGGAGGCAAAGAGATCAAAAAGAAAATTTTGGAGTGGCTAGGCATGGCAGCTCATGCCTTAATCCCAGCACTTTGGGAAGCCAAGGCAGGTGGATCACCTGAGGTCAGGAGTTGGAAACCAGCCTGGCCAACGTGGTGAAACCCTTTCTCCACTAAAAATACAAAAATTAGGCCGGGCGCGGTGGCTCACGCCTGTAATCCCAGCACTTTGGGAGGCCGAGGCGGGCGGATCACAAGGTCAGGAGATCGAGACCACGGTGAAACCCCGTCTCTACTAAAAATACAAAAAAATAGCCGGGCGAGGTGGCGGGCGCCTGTAGTCCAGCTACTCAGGAGGCTGAGGCAGGAGAATGGCGTGAACCCGGGAGGCGGAGCTTGCAGTGAGCCGAGATCCGGCCACTGCACTCCAGCCTGGGCGACAGAGCGAGACTCCGTCTCAAAAAAAAAAAAAAAAAAAAAAAAATTAGCCGGGCATGGTGGTGGGTGCCTGTAATCCCAGCTACTCAGGAGGCTGAAGCAGGAGAACTGCTTGAACCCGGGAGGCGGAAGTTGTAGTGATCCGAGATCAAGCCACTGCACTCCAGCTTGGGCAACAGAGTGAGACTCTATCTCAATTAAAAAAAAAAAAAAAAAAAGGAAAATTTTGGAGGATTGCACAGATCATGTATCAAGACCTTATGGGTGGGGCCTTTGTAAGGACTTCGGCTTTTATTCCAAGAAGCAATTGGACATTGGAGAGCTTTTTCGTGGGTTTTTGCCAGGGTGTTTACCCTTCCTGGCTTACTATGACTTGTAAACTTCTGTATGTGTCTAGTCCATACTGCTTTTTGGGCTTTCTAAGTTTTCTATTTAAGGTATTAGCACAGGATTTCCTTTGACTTGAACCACATGAAGCTTGCAGGAACACTGCAGGTGTTAGTGTCTCATGGCTGCTCATATCCTCACGAGCTTTCGTCTTGAAACATGGAGCAGCATTCATCCCTTCAGTTTCCAGCTGCTCATCCTCTAGCACTCTCTTCAGGGCTTTGTCCAGCTTTATTTAGCTCCGGGTGCGTGTTGACTGCAGCGTACCCAGAATGGGTGTGAGGGCAAAAAGGGTATTCTCACTTCCTTCCCGTCCTACGAGAGCCGAGCATTTTCTAGCCTTGGGCCACTCTAACTTGTTGGACCAGTGTTTTCAGAAAACAATCTGCAGGGACTCTTAGGGCCCTCTCTGGAGTTATGACTAAGAGTGGGAGTTATGACTAGCCCATCCCCTAGAAAATAGGTTAGATTCCCTTGCCCCAAGCTGATGACCTAATAAATGCATGACAGCATAGAGACACATCCATGAAGTGTGCCAACCTCTCTAGCCCACCTGTATTATTCAGGGTTCTCCAGAGAAACAGAACCAATAGGGTGTTTAAGAGAGAGATTTATTTGAAGAAATTTGGGGCCAGGCATGGCAGCTAACACCTGTAATCTCAGCACTTTGGGAGGCCAAGGCAGGAGGATCACTTGGGCCCAGGAGTTCTAGACCAGCCTATGCAACAGAGGGAGACTCCATCTCTACAAAAAAAAATTTAACATTAGCCAGATGTGGTGGTACACACCTGTGGTCCCAGTTACTCAGGAGGCCAAGGTGGAGGATCGCTTGAGGCCAGGAGTTTGAGACTATCCTGGGCAAGATAGCAAGACCCCACCTCTACAAAAAAGAAAACAAAAAAATTAGTTCATGCAGTTGTGAGGCAGACAAGTCCAGAATCCTCAGGGCAGGTGGACGTGCTGGAGATTCCTCCTTGGAACTTTGAGATTTCCTGTTGTGTCCTATTGTTAGGTATTGGGAAGAATGTCGTTTGCGAGAAGGCAGCAACATCGGTGGATGCCTTCCGGATGGTGACAGCCTCGCGCTACTACCCACAGCTCATGAGTCTGGTAGGGAACGTGCTGCGCTTCCTGCCTGCCTTCGTGCGCATGAAGCAGCTGATCTCAGAGCACTACGTGGGAGCGGTGATGATCTGTGATGCCCGCATCTACTCAGGCAGCCTGCTGAGCCCCAGCTATGGCTGGATCTGTGATGAACTCATGGGTGGCGGGGGCCTGCACACCATGGGGACCTACATTGTGGACCTGCTGACCCACCTGACCGGCCGGAGAGCCGAGAAGGTGCACGGGCTGCTCAAGACATTTGTGAGGCAGAACGCTGCCATCCGTGGCATCCGGCACGTCACCAGCGATGACTTCTGTTTCTTCCAAATGCTCATGGGTGGGGGTGTGTGTAGCACAGTGACACTCAACTTCAACATGCCAGGCGCCTTTGTGCATGAAGTCATGGTGGTTGGCTCTGCAGGACGCCTTGTCGCCCGGGGAGCTGACCTCTATGGGCAGAAGAACTCTGCCACGCAAGAGGAGCTGCTGTTGAGGGACTCGCTGGCCGTGGGTGCGGGGCTGCCTGAACAGGGGCCCCAGGACGTCCCGCTGCTGTACCTGAAGGGCATGGTCTACATGGTGCAGGCCTTGCGCCAGTCCTTCCAGGGGCAGGGCGACCGCCGAACCTGGGACCGCACCCCTGTCTCCATGGCCGCCTCCTTCGAAGATGGGCTGTACATGCAGAGCGTGGTAGACGCCATCAAGAGGTCAAGCCGATCCGGGGAGTGGGAGGCTGTGGAGGTGCTGACGGAGGAGCCCGACACCAACCAGAACTTGTGTGAGGCACTTCAGCGGAACAACCTATGAACCTGCACCTGGGCTCCTTGCCACAGGGCAGAGGGACCAGGGAGGGGAACAGGAGCCAGATGTGACAGGGGCTTGGCCCTAGCAGAGATGGTATCTTTCATTTAATGAGTCTGGGTGAAGCCAGACTCCAGCGACTCACCTGCTCCTCAGACTTGCAGGGTGGCAAATGTTCTTGTTGGCCAGGTTACCACGGCGTGCAGAGGGCAGAGCTGCCGCCGGGCCTCCTCATGGCGATGCCAGTGAGTGGGACTCGGAAAGGCTCACCCTGGTGAGCCCCTCAGCCTGATTCGCAGTCCTAATGGTGAGAAAGCACAATAGGGCCAGCTCGGCTGAGGCCCGAGGAGAAATGATGAGAAGTTTCATTTCCTTCTTGGGCTGGGACATCTCAGGAACAGTGAGGGCAACAAGCTGTCCCTCAGGGACCCTCACCTGCCCTCCTATGTGACCAGGCCCTTCCCAGGTGGGGACTGGGGCTTGCTTTATTAAGTGAGCTCTCAGGCTTTTGAAGTAGGACAGAGGGCCCTGATTTGGCAGAGAGGAGGCAAGGGAGGGCTTTAGAACATCTGAGAAATGTTAATAAATAATTGAGAAAATAGGACATGGCATGTGGTTTTTGTTTGGTAGGTTGGGTTTCTTTAATACTGAAAGGCTTGTTTCTTGCTGGAGGGGGTTTTTCTCTTTACTCATTGCTCCACAGCAGCTTGGAGCCAGCCGTGGGTCATCACCGTCAACTGTCCCACACGGGCTGCTGCCCCTCCAGCCCTCGTCTCCTACCTGTTCCCTCATAGCCAAATCCCAGGAGCCTCCGAAGAAAAGATGTCCTCAGAGAACAGGAGTCAGGACTTCCTAATGGGCTGCTGCTGCGCCTGCCATCTCAGCAGGTATCGGGAGAGTTTGGGGCCTCACTGGGCTGGAGATCAGGAGGGGTTCTGTTCTTAATGTCATGGTGTTGGCTGCCAGAGTGCCCTTGAGGTGGCGGGGAGGAGTGGTTTCAGGGAGGTGGCACAGGGTGAGAAGTAGGAGGAAGAGCTCCAGGCATGCCCTGTGGAGCAGCTGTGACTGGACCTGAGGGCCAATCACCCACTGTGCTCTTGACTGTGCTCTGCACAGGGCCAGCCTTCTACCCACCTCCAGAAGCTGGAGTGGGGAGTGGTGTTGAGAAAGGACACTCCCTCCCCATTTCGTCTTTGACCAGCCTGCCAGGCTCGTTCAGCCTGGACCGAGTTCTGTTCCCTTCTCTAACCTTCCGCCCACTTCCCTGCCCTGGGCTCCTTGCCAGAAAAGCCCAGGGAGGGCTTCCTTTTCCTCTTGGCACCTCTTCTAGAAGTCACCAGGCTTGTTTTCCTGTCATGTACTGGATTCAGATATCCTTGTGAGAGGGAATAACAAGGGATAGGGTTGGAGTGTGCCTACTGCATGCTGACCCTCAGGGCAAACATGTATGTTGTTATTTCACTTAATCTCCAAACCACTCTGACGGTAAATATTCCCATCATTCAGATCATAAAATGGAGGCACAGAGGGCAAAGCTACTTGCCTCCTGTAGGTTGTCCGTGATGGAGCTGGGAGCCTGGTCAGAACCATGTAACCACAGAGCCTGACCTTGAACCACACTTCCTCCCAGCACTTGGGAGTCTTCACACCCGAGGGCCCGGCATTGCCTCTGCCTGCTGCAGGAGCCTCGGCCTGGCCTGAACTAGGAAGTGAAGTGCAGACAGCACCCACCACCAGGCAGGACACTGAAGGTTAAAGGGGAGGCTGCCCCCTTGTCCCTGGGACAGTTAGCTCAGCTCAGTCCTCCCATGTTGTTGCTAGGATGTTAAGGTCGCTCTGAAATGTGGGAATTGACCAGGAAAGCACAAGCCCGACTTACATGCTCCCACATAAGAAAGGGCCATGTGGCCAACCAGAATGGCACTTGGGTTCCCAGAATGTGCTGGGGCTTAGTGCAGAGCTACTTCAATGAGGATCCCGTTTCCTCTAAAGGAATCCCCAGAGCCTAGATTCATGGCCAGAGGGGTACATGGCCTCTTCCCTCAGATGTCTTTACCATCAAGTATCTCCTGGGTATCAGAGCTGGTCAGTCCCACACGGGATGGGGAAGACAGATATGCTCAGATGCCTGTGGCCAAGGGAGCCCACAGGGTTCTGGTCTCCACGCGTGACTAAACCCACACTGGTTCCAGACTTGTCCAGCAGCGCCCCCTCCTGGAAAAAGACAGCATCTCCCAGGACCTGTTTCCAAATCTCAGGATGTTACTAGCTAGCTCTTTCTCAGGTCAAAATAAAGTTTTTCCAGGACAGTAAAAATGCAGTTAGCTTTGCTCATCACATACAGCAACCAAAAGAAAACTTCCAGAATACCTGTTGCTTATTCTTCAACCTCCAGCCAAATCCAGGACTGTTTTCACCAAATCCAGAACTGTTTTCACCCAGACGGTGGCAGCCGCTTCCTTTCCTGTTCTGCCCATCACCCTGCTGGCCAAGCAGCCTCTCCTGAACGTCACGCCAAGATCCCTCCCTCTCCACACCCCTCTTCCTCACCCCCGGACTTGTCCAACCTGGTTTCCATATGGCCATGCCCTCCACTCCAGCCACACTAAGCAGCCCTCCTGCAGAGGTGGCAGCTTCCATACTAGGAGGGCTTTGTCCCTGGCACGTCCTCTGCCTGGAAGGCACCACCTCTCTCTCTCAGGAGTCAGCTGGAGGACTGCCTGGTCACCACTTCTGCCCTCGGCAAAGTAGCCACTCCCCAACCTGTGGTCCCACAGCCTTGGTCCTCAGTTGCACTGAGGTTGCATCTCCCTCCCTCCCTCCCTCTCTCTTTTTTCTTTCTTTCTTTCTCTCTCTCTTTCTTTTTCTTTTCTTTCTTTTTCTCTTTCTTTTTCTTTTCTTTCTCTCTCTCTCCCCCTTCCTTCCTTCCTTCCTTTATTCCCTCCCTCCCTCCCTCCCTTCCTTCTCCCCTTCCTTCCTTTATTCCCTCCCTCCCTCCATTCCTCTTTCCCTCTCTCCCTCCCCTCCCCTCCCCTCCCCTTCCCTATCCTCCCCTCCCCTTCCCTATCCTCCCCCTTTCCTTCCCTTCCCTCCCCTCCTTTCTTTTCTTGACAGAGTCTCACTCTGTCACCCAGGCCAAAGTGCAGTGGCATCACCTTGGCTTACAGCCACCTCCACCTCCCGGGTTCAAGCGATTCTCCTGCCTCAGCCTCCCAAGTTGCTGGGACTGCAGGTGCCCGCCACCACACCTGGCTAATTTTGGGGGGGTTTTTTGTTTGCTTTTGAGACGGAGTTTCGCTCTTGTTGCCTAGGCTGGAGTGGAGTGGTGCGATCTCGGCTCACTGCAACCTCCACCCCCCTGGTTCAAGCAATTCTCCTGCCTCAGCCTCCCGAGTAAGTAGCTGGAATTACAGGCGCACACCACCACGTCCGACTAATTTTTTTGTATTTTTAGTAGAGACGGGGTTTCACCATGTTGGCCAGGCTGGCTGGTTTCGAACTCCTGACCTCGTGATCCACCCACCTTGGCCTCCCAAAGTACTGGGATTACAGGCATGAGCCACCGCCCCCAGCCTAATTTTTGTATTTTTAGTAGAGACGGGGTTTCACCACGTTGTCCAGGCTGGTCTTGAACTTCTGGCCTAAGTGATCTGCTCCCCTCAGCCTCCCAAGGTGCTAGGATTACAGGCATGAACCACTGCACCTGGCCACTTGTTTTGAATATATAATTTCAACTTTTATTTTACATTCAGGGGGTACATGTGTAAGTTTGTTACATGTGTATACTGTGTGATGCTGAGGTTTGGGGGACGATTGGTCTCATCACCCAGGTAGTGAACATAGTACTCAATAGGTTTTTCAACCCTCACCCCACCCCCTCTCTGCCCCCTCTCGTAGTCTTGTGTTTGTGTTTCCCATCTTTGTGTCCATGTGTACCCAATGTGTAGCTCCCACTTGTGAGAACATGTTCTATTTGGTTTCCTGTTCCTGTGTTAATTTGCTTAGGATAGTGGTCTCAGCCGTTTCCATGTTGCTGCAACGGACACGATTTCATTCTTTTTTATGGCTGCATCATTTTTACTTCTTGAGACAGGGAAAAATGTTGCCCAGGCTGGTCTTGAACTCCCAGGCTCAAACGATCCTCCTGCCTCAGCCTCCCAAATATCTGGGACTACAGACACAGACCACCACGCCCAGCTACACGTCTCCCTAAATCATGTAGCATTGCCCCTTTACAGCGAGCTTCTAGGAGTAGTAGGGACTTGATCCTTTCTGCAGTTCCTGCCACCCACCCTGCTTAGACAAGTCCATTGGGTAATAGGCCTCAGGAATTGCAGACTAGTTCTCCCACGATTTCTAATTCCTGCCTCACCTGTGAGAAGACAGGACCAGCTCTTCCTTATCAGTGCTGGCCTTGCTTACACTTCTAGCCCTGGAGGCTGCACAAAGATAGGGAGGCCTTCTGGGGTCAGGCCTTAGCCAGAGAGTCCCCAGGTCGGCAGATCCTGCACAACTGAGGACAGGGATTCCTAGATCCCAGGGTATAGTCTCCTGCAAGGCCACTTCTCTCCAGGCCTCTGCCTTCCCAACCATAAAGCGAGGAGGTTAAGCTCCATTACCTTGGCTGGGTGTGTTGGCTCATGCCTGTAATCCCAGCACTTTGGGAGGCCAAGGAGGGAGGATTGCTTGGGGTCCAGAGTTTGAGACCAACCTAAGGAACACAGACCCTATCTCCACAAAAATATTTTTTGGCCAGGCACGGTGGCTCACATTTGTAATCCTTGAGTCCGGGAGGTGGAGGTTGCAGTGAGCCAAGATTGTGCCACTGCACTCCAGCCTGGGTGACAGAAGGAGACCCTGTCATAAAGAAAAAAAAACATCCTGACCCCATGGCTTGCCATGGGACCAGTGAGCCCCCAAGTGACCCTGTCAAAGGAGGGAGCAGCCCGGGATGATGCCAGAAAGGGGACCCTCCTTTTCCCACCTGAACCTGCCCATCCCACTTCCTCCAGTGACCTTGCCAGGCCATATTCCAGGGAACCTACACATGACTGTGTCCTCGGGATGACCTCAGCCTTTCAGATTCCGGCATGTCCCTCTCTGCAACTTCCTCCACCCTCACTTCCGTCTCATCACCTTGATGCCTTTTAGGGGGCCCTCTGGCTTGGTGGATGTGATGCAATGAGATGTGCCCTTAGGGAGCTCACAATCTAGCCCTGAAGACAGTTACGACCCACATGATAGTAGTATCTAGGTGCTACAATGCAGGGCAACACGGCATGCTGTCTGCCTCCCCAAGAAGCAGGGTTTTCAAAGGTGTATGTGCACTAGCCAGGGGGAGTGGTGGGATTAAAGGCATTTTAGGCAGAGGAAACCCCACATGCACAGAGTAAAGGGAGGAAAAGGTGTAACTGCTCAGGGAATTACAGGAACCAACTGAGTTCTAAGGTAGCTGGGGCGAGAGGAGGGGAATCCCAAGGGGGAGTGACACCATCAGGGGCTCAGGTGTGTGTGTTGCAGGGCCACTGGATGGATCTGTGGGCCAAGGGACGACAGGCAGGGAGACCAGTGAGGCTGTCACCTGGAGATGACAGTGGTCCAGGCAACGGTGCTGACTGTGGAGTCCGAGAGGTTCTCAGCCTGAAAGGGTATGTTCACTGGCCTCAATGTCTGCTTAGCTTGTAGGAATCAGGGGGCAAAGAACAGGATGGGGTCTGGGGTGACATCCAAGATTCTAGCTTAAACAATTGCGCAGATGAGATACAGGAGGAAAAGCCAGTTGGAGGGAGGGGAAATTATCCATGAACTTGAAATTCCCTGTGTCTGTTTGCGGTGTCCAAGGAACACACAGGAGGCCCAGGATGTGCAGTTTCCAAAATGGCCAACACTGGCTGGCTCTGGCAGCAGAGATCCCTGCCGGTTGGACACAGTTGTCATCCAGTGGCTTGGCCTCAGGGCCCCAGATGCACTTACTGCCCCTGCCCACCCCTGCCTGTCAGGAAAACATCACTGATGCCCTGTCACCTGTGACCAGGGGCTACTCCATGGACAAGGTCCAGTCCAGCTATGGTCTGGCAATGAGTGGAAAACATCCCAAAGCTGTCACTCCGGCGACAGGCAAAAGAACTCTGAGCTACCTCCTAGGAGGATCCCAAGTTTTGATCCCCTCAAGGTGAAACCAAATGCAGGCCCTTCCCCAGGAGACAAACAGTAGGGCCAAACACCTGCTTCCCATGACCCTACAGACCCTTTCTTTCCTCTGCTCCAAGTTCCTCCTTCTCACTTCCCTCTTCATCACCCAGTTAGCCGCCTGACCCTCAGATTCACCTAAACACACAGTACCAGGTCCAGCCCAATTCAGTGAGGCATGGGGTGGCACAAAGGCATCTGTCATTGTCAAAGTCTCAGGAGATGCAGATGACCATTCAGGCCTCAAACCCTGCACTGTTGAGTCCTCCATCCTCTTTCCCAGTTCAGGAAACCTATCCGGGGAATCACAAAGTCTTTGAAAAAGAAAAATATTTATTTTCAGCAAGCCCAAAGTCCCAAGTGGGGGCAGGTGCCAAATTTGCCCCCTCCACCAGAGGGCCTAGGCCCACAGGAAGCCTGAAGCCAAATTCAGGCATGGAAGGAGGGGAGCCACCAGTGGGGCGGGACAGTCACTTGTACTGAGGAGAGAGCGGGGGGACAAGCGGAGCAGTGCAGACACTCAGCATCTTGTCGATGTCCACCTGGGTTGACTTATCCACCTCAGCCTTGTGGTGGTCACTCACCCCCAAGCTGGGCAAGCCCCCAGCCTCCTCTCCAGCCTCCTCTCCGAGGGGAGCCAGAGCATGGATGGGGGTCACTAATGCACTGGGACAGGGCAAAGCGAGGCCTGGGCCCAGCTCACCTGCCAAGGGCAGCAAGGCCTGCAGTTGCTCCACACCTGCCTCCTCGGGAACCAGGGCCAGCTCTGCCTCTGCCTCCACCTCGGCCTCCCCGTCCCCCTCCCCTGCCTGGTTCAGCTCGGGGTTGCAATAGTTGATGTACTGGTACAGGGGCCGCAGGCGCTGGGCCTTTCCTGCAAAGACCAGGGCAGGGCAGAGGCTAGAGCGCCAGGTTGTGCCATGTCGGGCCCCACAGGGAGAAGGAACAGCCCAGGGACTGCCACTCACGCTCCAGCCCCAATGTCTCTAAGGGTGCAGACACCGTGCTGGCCACAGCGTGGAGCACGGGAGCCCCCAGGCTCTTGCGCTTCTTGGCTTTTTTGTGCTGTTTGGCAGATGGTGAGGGCTCACTCTGGCTGCCCTCTGGCTCCTCCTCCTGCAGCGGCAGCCTGGGTGGCAGCTCAGCTTCAGCCTTGGGATGGGCACGAAGGCCCGGGAGGCTGAGGGACCTGAGCCAGGGACAAGAGACCTGACACAGGGAATACCCCAGCCTGCCCACCGCCCCAGGACTCGACGCCTGCCCCTTTCCTGGTCGATGAGGCCCCAGGCCCAAGAGGCTTAGAGGCCAGTGAGCCCAGTGCCCTACAAACCCTGAAGCTCCCACTCTCCTGCTGCTCCCTACACGGGGGCTCTTGAAGAACGGGAGAGGAGAGTGATGGTAGTGACAGAGGACAAGAATCCTTCCTGCAGGAGTGCAGGAATCAGGAATGCTACTGGGGTGTGTGCCCCAACCCCGGGCCTGCAGCTCCTTCCCCTCCTCTTTCCCCAGAGCCCCCTCACTTGACAGGCTTTCTCTTTGGACCATGACGGGGCCTCACAATGGAGACCACGGGCCTGGGGCCTCTCTCCTCTAGCGCTCCAGCTTCCGGCTTGGGCCTCTCCTCCCCCAGCTTGGGTCCTTCCTCCTGGAGCTCCAGCTCCGAAGCTGCGCCTGCTGGGCGCTGGTCTTCACCCTGGGTTCCGCGGGCCTCATGGGCTGGCACCAGGAAATGTTCTCCCGCCACTGGACACTAGAGGTGACACACAGGCCATCGGTCACCATGGTCGGGCAAAGGACATAGGGATCCGTCACTGAACACCTAACATTAGACACCGAAACGGGAATAAGGACACCAGCCTGTGCCCCTCCCCGCCTGGAGGGCCCAGCCTGGCAGTTAGCGGGTCGGGGCGCTCAGAGTTCCGCCTCTCAGAGCGCTGCGGCCCCGTGTTTGAAGGTTAAACAGCCTGACGGTCACCTCGGAGGTCTGAGCGCTGCCGGGGTCCTCCGCGAGCTGTCCCTGCCCCATGACCGTAGCCTCCTGGACCCCCGGCCGCCTCTCCGCCCCTGCCGAGGCCATGGCTGCGCAGGCTCAGTGCATCCTCCACAGCTGCTTGGGGAGGGCCCCGAGCGGCTGGATGGTGGCCCCGCGCTGACCCTGGAGACCGGCCAGCAAGCGAGGGCAGAGCTGGGAAGCGAAACCGGCGACCGCGGAGCCCACACTCGGCGGAAACTACAAGCCCCAGGACGCTTTGCGCCAGGGTCAGTAGGCCCTGACCCCGGGGACGGAAGCCACGGTTGCCCGGCAACAACAACTCCCGTCGGGTGCCAGCGGCTGGCGGCAAAACCTCTCGAGTGAGCCCCTGCCCGAGTGCCGCGGGGGAGAGGCCGCGGGGGAGAGGCCGCGAGCGGGACCGAGAAGTGGGCTGGGGGGAGAGGTCGCGGAGGCGGCGAACGAGGCCGGGGCCCAGGCAGGGACCGGCAGGGGCCCGGGAGTGACGGGCACGCCAGGGTCAGGGTCCCAGGCGAGGGAGGAGGCCCGGGGTTGGGGAAGGGGGCCCGGGGAGGGAGGTGCACAGCCCTGCAGGCCTCGGGGCACCGTTGCTGGGCGGTGCCGGCAGCATGTGCGAGGGCCCGTCCCGCATCTCGGGGCCCATCCCCCCAGACCCGACGCTCTGCCCTGACTACTACCGGCGGCCGGCCTCGGGTGAGTCCAGGGGCTCGGCGGTGGTGCTAGGCTCAGGGGTCGGCCCCGGCTCCACCTCTGAGCCCTGGACTCCACCCGGCTCCGCCCCCACAGCTCAAGGGCGCCTCGAGGGAAACGCGTTGAAGCTGGACTTGCTGACCTCGGACCGGGCCCTGGACGCCACCGCTCCCTGTGGCCCCCGCATCGGTCCCGGTGCCCGAGAGATCCTGGAGCGCGGCCGGCGCGGCGTCGGGGACGTGCTGTTGCAACTCGAGGGGATCTCCCTAGGTCCTGGGGCCTCTCTCAAGAGTAAGTCCCAGGAATGGAAGAAGGGGCAGAGAGGCAATGCGGGGTGGAAAGAGATCAAAAGCAGCTGCTCTTTCCGCCCTGACCTGGGCCCAGGCTTTGCATCTCTTGAGTCTCAGTTTCCTCAACTATAAAAGGGGGAGAAATGTGCTGCCTTCTCGAAGGAAGTGAACTGAATAAGGTAGTTCCCACGAAGCCCTAGCTCTGCTTCGTGCGTGCATTTATTTATTTATTTATTTATTTATTTATTTATTTCACGCCATTCTCCTGCCTCAGCCTCTGGTGTAGCTGGGACTACAGGCGCCCGCCACCGTGCCCGGCTAATTTTTTTTGTATTTTTAGTAGAGATGGGGTTTCACCGTGTTAGCCAGGATGGTCTCGATCTCCTGACCTCGTGATCCACCCGTCTCGGCCTCCCAAAGTGCTGGGATTACAGGCTTGAGCCACCGCGCCCGGCTCCGCTTCGTGCATTTATTACCCGTCAAATTTGTTTGTTGAGTGCCCACTGTGTGCCAGGCCATATAGGTGCTAGAACACAGGGTTGAAGATAAGCATGAGCCATCATTGAGTCAAGGTGGGAGACAAAGAACAAGAGATGAATGTCATATATGAGATGATCTATGGTAGACTTCACTATAATAATGGAGAAAATCACCCGGACGCAGTGGCTCACTCCTGGAATCCCAGCACTTTGGGAGGCCCAGGCAGGCGGATCACTTGAGCCCAGGAGATGGAAACCAGCCTGGCCAACATGGTGAAACCCCATCTCTACAAAAAATACAAAAATTAGCCTGGCATGGTGGCGTGTGTCTGTAATCCCAGCTACTCAGCAGGCTGAAGTGGGAGGATCACTTCAGCTGGGGAGGTCAAGGCTGCAGTGAGCTGTGATCATGCCACTGTACTCCAGCCTGGGTGACAGAGCGAGACACTGTCTCAAATAATAATAATAATAATGGAGACAGTCATCCTGAAATACTACATGAGGAAGAGAACTCCTTCTGTAGGAGGCAGGAGGCAGGCCTGTGTGTGAACTAGTGGAAGTTGAATTGTGTGGGCCCTATGTAGGGCAGAGCCTGGTGGCATCTTTTCTCCAGGGAAGGACCCTAAAGACCATGAGAAGGAGAACCTGAGGCGGATCAGGGAGATTCAGAAGCGCTTCAGAGAACAGGAGCGCAGCCGGGAGCATGGACAGCCCAGGCCCCTGAAAGCTCTGTGGCGCTCGCCCAAGTACGATAAGGTGGAGTCCCGGGTCAAGGCCCAGCTCCAGGTACCTGCTCCAGGGAGCCAGAAGTATTATCCTTTTTGTTGGCCAACAGGCAGCTATACCCTGATCTGAGTTCTGGGGAGGGAGGGAACTAAGAGACCCTGGCTCTGCTGCAGGGCGAGGCTGGGGGGCTTCTCAGAAGTGGTGATGGCGGGACTGATCCTGAGGGGCAAGCAGCAGTTAGTCAAGGGGACAGCAGAGGAGAACATTCCCAAAAGATGGAACCTCACAGACCACAGGGCACGCAGCAGTGGAGATGCTAGGTGTACAGTTCACTGTGAGGAAAGAAGGGCGTGAAGTTAGGCCAAGAAGTCAGCTGGGCCCACATCAGGGGCCACAAAAGCCACTTTTCAGTCCTTATTTCTGAGGACAGTGGGAAGGGCAGGGGTATGGTGGGGGGCTCTGTCTCGGGTAGAGAGTAGCACCATCCTTCCATCCAGGGACTCAGCAGGAGGAGCAGGAGTGAGACGAAAGGCAAGGTCACACAAATGTGTCTGGGCTGAAGCATCTGTGGGGCTCCCAGGGGGTGGGAGTGTGTCCAGGAAGCAGATGGAAATTCAGGCCTGGATCTCAGGAGTGAGACCCAGGAGTTATTGACGATCAGGTTGAGGACAATGAGACCAAGGAAGTGACCGCCTGGATTTGAGGACTTGGAGGCCAGCCGTCAGGAACCTTGTGGGGCTAGAGCCAGGAAGCTTGGCTAGGAAGGATGAAAGAGAGTGGTAGGTGGGCCAGTACTGAGGTGGAAGGGGAGATGGTTTGTTTTCTTAAAAATGTGATGTGCTCACACATTTGTGTGCTGATGAGGACAAGTGTCTCTTGAAGAGGGAAGAGGGCCCGAGGGACACGGATGCAAAGGTCAGAAGGGCCAAGAGGGCCAGGGTTTTGCAGCTTGAGCCCCAGACCTTAGCCTGCCTGGTCTCTCTGCTGTGCTGTGCCCTCCAGGAGCCTGGCCCTGCCTTTGGGACAGAGTCTGCGCACTTCCTGCGGGCGCACTCCCGCTGCGGCCCTGGCCTCCCACCACCCCGTGTACCTAGTCCCCAGCCACCACCACCAGGTCCCAAAGCTAAGGTGAGAGGATGTGTGGGGGCTGGATGGTGGTTGGGCAGGGTTCCCGGTGTGTGGTGGGGGTTCAGGGACACAACATAATGCTGTCTGCCCCCACCCACGCTTGCTGTGTCCTGCAGGAGCCAGGCCTGGGGGTGGACTTCATTCGTCACAATGCACGAGCTGCGAAGAGGGCCCCCCGGAGGCATTCCCGCTCACTGCAGGTCCTGGCACAAGTGTTAGAGCAGCAGCGGCAGGCCCAGGAGCACTACAATGCCACACAGAAGGGCCATGTGCCGCATTAGTAGGTCTCACTGCCTGACACTCAGGGTGAGGGAGATACCTGTGGAGGGCGGGAACCAACCTCTGCCCTGGGGTCATCAACTCTGAACCTGTGTACCCACAGCTTGTTGGAGCGCAGGGACCTGTGGCAGCGGGAGGCTGAGGCTCGCAAGCAGAGCCAGCCAGACCCTGCCATGCCCCCAGGCCACATGCGCATGCCTGAAAACCAGCGGCTGGAAACACTGACCAAGCTGCTCCAGAGTGAGTACCTGGACAGGGAGGCTGGAGGGGGACCCCACTGGGGACCGGGCACCCCTGCCCAACACTCACTGTTCTCACTGTTCCCGGGCCCCCTGTAGGCCAGAGCCAGCTGCTGCGTGAGCTGGTACTGCTGCCTGCCGGGGCAGACTCACTGAGAGCCCAGAGCCACCGTGCTGAGCTGGATCGGAAACTGGTGCAGGTAGAGGAGGCCATCAAGATCTTTTCTCGGCCCAAGGTCTTCGTGAAGATGGATACCTGAGCCCCTCTGAGGGACAGTGGCAGGGAGCTCCATGCTGAGGATCGCCACATGGCTGCAAAGGACAGGGTCGGACCCAATCCCAGAGCAGAGGTCTGAAGTCAGGAGCAGGGGGGTGGCCAGTGTCCCTAGAGCACTCCTCCCAGCCACCAGTGGCTGCAGAAGGGCCACCCCAGCCTTTTAACTGCTTTGTCAAAATTAAACCTTTTGTATACAGGATTTGTTTCCATAAGAGCTTTTCTTACCCTAAAAATGCCAAGCCTGGTGGCCCTCCTGCTGCTTGATTGCAGGAAGTTCTCCCCATTGTCACTCCGGACTTAGTCCAGAGCAGAAGACAAGCTGGTGGGACCAGGGAGGAGGCTGGGACTGGGACACAGAAGGACCAAGACTGTATTCATAGAAAAACCTTTAATGTTCCCCAGGCTGAGGGAGCCCTGGGAGCCAGCTAAAAACCCCCACTGTGAAGTCCCTGCCATGTCCCAGCAGTTTGGAGTGGCATGGGGCTGCATCCTGCCTGTCAGAGGCTGAAGCCACTACCATCTTGCATGCGACTCCCCCAGCCAGAACTGGCCTGCTCCTGGTCATCCAGGGAGGGCAGAGAGCTGCGGGTACCAGGATGTCGGCAGCCAGGGTGCAGGTCCCAGCATGGGGGCCCCTGAGACAGCCCATTGGAACTGGGAGGCTGGCGGTTCTCAATGACCAGGTCACTGCTGTCATCATCACTATCAGGCTCAGCAGGCCCAGGCCCTGCAGAGGGAGGACCTGTCAAACGCCCAGATGCCCCTCGCACCACGTTATTGCGCTGGTTGGCCGGCTTGACAGTGACAATGAGGTTATGGCTGTTGGCGACCATCATGTCCGTCACTTGGTCCAAGGTCTTCCCGGCTACTTCAATGCCATTGACCTCAAGGATCTCATCACTGACCGCCAGCAGCCCTGTACTCTCAGCCAGGCCTCCACGTACCAGGCGGGAGATGAAGATTCCTGGAACCCGCTCCAGGCCCTGGGGAGCCACACGCACACTCATGCCATCTCGGATGTAGAAGCCCAGGGGGCGGTCTGAACCATGCTTGTGCAGCCGCACCCGTCGGTGGGTCTCAGGCAGTAGGTCCACATCTATGACTGACGAAACCTGGCGGAAATCTTGGGGCAGGCTGATTAGCAGGGGTGGACGGGTGCGAAGGGGTGCCACTGGCCGCAGCAGGAGCCCTTTCTTGCGCCGCTGCAGAGAGTTGGAGGCAAAAGCCAGGCCGCTGGAGTCAGCTTCTGCTGCAGAAGAGGGGGGTGTTGAGATCAGAGACCTGCTCCCCGACTTGGGCTCTTTACAGGGGCCACTGTAGCTATTTCCTACCACTTGGAGGTCAGGTCAAGGGCAGGGACTGCAGAGGGTGACACGTGGGTACCCTGGGCATGGACTAACCCTTGTAGACCTGCCCCACAGGCATCTTACCCCACAGAGGCTGCCCACTGTACCCCTCCTCACCCCGCTTCTGCACCAATAGGCGCAGTGGTGGGGGCCCGCTGGCCAGGGCCCGGTGCAGACTGTCGTCGTTGGTGAGGGGCAGCAGGTCGCCATGAGCATCCGTATAGCCAAGTAGCACGTCCAGGCCCGGGATCTGGTGCACCACCCGCAGCAACCGCGAGAACTCCTGGAAGCCGCTCACCGAAGCGCGGGGCAGCGCGAAGCGTCGGAACTCGGCGTCAAACTGGAAGTCGGGGTTGGGGGAGAGGAGTCAGGACAGCCTGCGCCCCTTTCTCACCGCAGGCTGGCAGGGGTAGGAAAGATACCGGCTGCCGCAAAAGCGGCAGCCTTAAGCCCAGACCTCAGCTCCAGTACCAGGGACGCTGTCCAAGGTCTTCTCACCGCCCTACAGGTACTCAGGCCACAGAGAGATCTGGAGACCAGCAGTGGAGAAAGGAAGATGGATGGGGGAAGGCGAGCAGAAATGCAGAATGGGACTTGGAAGATAGAGGGAAGAGGTGGCGGGGACCAAGGAGCTGGGAAGGGGAGAAAGAGGGAATTGGGAGCGCCTAGGGCCGAGGCCGGAGGAGCCCTTACTTTGCTCTTCACCTCGACGATGCTATCGGGACTGCGCGCCGGAGTCCTCTGCGGCCGGGCCATGGCGGGGCCGGGCGGGCCGGGGACGGTGCCCCAGGCGGCCCGCCGAGGCGCAGGTGCACAGCCCGGCCGGCCCGCCCGCGCCGCCCCGCCCCTGGCGGTAGCACACGCCCCGCCTTCCCATCCGGAGCCTGACGTCAAGGGGGCAGCGACGCAGAGTGGAACGCGGAGTCCACGTTTCCTAGGAAACGGAGCCGGGGGTGGAGAGGAACCTTCCTCCGCTCTTGCGTCATCACGCTGAGGTCCACGCGCCCCCGGAGTCTGGCGAGGAGAGCTCGGCCAATCCGAGGGGAGGGCCAAGGAAGTACCATTTATTGGACGTTGTGTGTATGCTCTTATTTCCACTGGCCTTACAAGACCGTGCATTGTGTAGATGAGGAAACTGAGTCATAATAAATATGTGCTGAACCCCTCGGGGGTCACACGGCGCTGAAATGGTTTCGAGTCAACTTAACGGACGGCACTCGGCCGCAGGCCCCTGCCCTGGATCCCTCTCCAGAGACCGGACCAGCTCTTGTTCTGTTCCCTCTAGGTACCACAGGCATCTTGACGAACGGCCGAAATGCCGGGCCGCTGTCGGAGTGACGCCGCGATGAGAGTAAACGGGCCAGCATCCCGAGGACCAGCGGGAGTCTCCACATAACCTCCCGAGCAGGACGCTCTCCTGCGCAGGCGCGGGGTGTACGTGGGTGGGGCCTCCTCCTCAGGCCCCGCCCAGCCAAAGGCGCTTCCTCTTCCGAGGAGAGGCGGGGCCTCGGCGCCCGCGGGAAACCCGGGCGGTTTGCCTCCGCTAGGTGCTGCCGCCGGGATGGCAGGTTCGGGGAGGCTGGTCCTACGGCCCTGGATTCGAGAGCTGATTCTGGGGTCGGAGACACTCTCCAGTCCACGAGCCGGGCAGCTGCTCGAGGTGAGCCCCCACTCAGGGCCCGGAGACCGAGGCGGAGGCCCGGGGTGGTGGGATTGACGCCGCTCGCCGCCGTCAGGTACTACAGGAGGCCGAGGCCGCGGCCGCGGGCCCATCCCACGCCCCTGATGCGTCCGACGTCGGGGCCACGCTGCTTGTGTCTGACGGGACCTACAGTGTCCGATGCCTGGTGACGCGGGAGGCCCTGGACACCTCGGACTGGTGAGAGGCCCCGCGCGGCTCCGGAGGTCGGAGTCCCGCAGGAGAGCGCGAGGTGGGCGGGCCTTGTGTTCCGGTGGGCCCGGCAGTGAGGGTCCTGCTCGCCGCAGGGAGGAGAAGGAGTTCGGCTTCCGCGGGACAGAGGGCCGGCTGCTGCTGCTGCAGGACTGCGGGGTTCATATCCAGGTCGCTGAGGGCGGCGCGGTGAGTGGTGAGACTGCCTTGGGCGGGTTACCGGGCATGACTCTTCGTGACGATTCCTGAGACCTCCCCTTCCCCCCGAACTCCTCCAGCCCGCAGAGTTCTATCTCCAGGTGGACCGCTTCAGCCTCCTGCCCACGGAGCAGCCCCGGCTGCGGGTGCCTGGTTGGTAAGTGATGCCTTCGCCCTCCAGCAGCTCTCCCCACCCCAGCCTGGCCGGCGCTGGTAGAAGCCTTTGGGGTAGGAGGGCTTGGGCCCCCATTAACTACCCTTATCTTTTTCTTAGCAATCAAGACTTAGATGTTCAGAAAAAGCTCTATGACTGCCTTGAGTGAGTCTGGGGTTGGGCTCGGGGGCCACGTGTGGTTTGGTGAGGGGTTGGTGTATCTGGGTAGACAGGCTTCAGTATGGTTCCTGAGTCCTGGCCACTCTCTTCCTGTAGGGAGCACCTTTCAGAGTCCACCTCGTCCAATGCAGGTACTGTAGGGCTTGGCCAGCCGTCCTAACACCCTGTGCAGTGACCTCTCCAGCCTTAAACTCCCACTTCCTCAATAAGCTGTCCTCCCACTTCCCCTCCTAGTCCTCTCCTTTAAGCCTTGATTCATCCCATGGTCCCCTGTCCCCAGGCCTATCACTGTCCCAGCTTCTGGATGAAATGCGGGAGGATCAGGAGCATCAGGGGGCGCTCGTGTGCCTGGCTGAAAGCTGCCTGACGCTGGAGGGCCCTTGCACAGCACCCCCGCTCACCCACTGGGCTGCCTCACGATGCAAGGCCACGGTCAGTCTGGGGCTTTTCTTGGGAGATGTCAGGGTGAGGAGTTGAGCAAGGGTCATGTCCCACAGGACATGAGAGTAAACGGGCCTGTCCTACAGAGTTTATGTCCCACAGGGAGAAGCTGTGTACACTGTCCCCAGCTCAATGCTATGCATCTCTGAGAATGACCAGCTAATTCTGAGCTCTCTAGGCCCCTGTCAGAGGACACAGGGTAAGGGGGACTGGAGAGGTTGGGGGGATACCTGGGGCCCAGGTCCACAGTGCTGATAAGCCTTCCTGAACCCCCCAGGCCCTGAGCTGCCCCCACCAGACCTGGCTCTGCAGGACCTTTCTCTGACCCTCATAGCCTCTCCTTCCTCACCCAGTTCCTCAGGTGAGGTGATGCACAGGTCACAGGCACTCACTGCCATCTGTCAGGTTCCCGGGCTGTGCAGGATGCTGTTAAAGTTGCACGGCGGGTGGGGGATGAACATGGTCCCTGCAGTCCTTTCTGAGCTTGCAGGCCACTCAGCTGCTCTAAGCGGAGAGGGCTCTGCCTACAATGAGTCCCCTCCTCCTCAGGAACCCCAGCCTTACCTGGCCACATGTCATCCGAGGAAAGTGGTACCAGCATCAGCCTTCTGCCTGCCCTGTCCTTGGCTGCTTCAGACCCAGGGCAGAGGAGCAGCTCCCAGCCCCCACCAACCATCTGCTCAGCCCCTGCCCCCCTGATCCCCAGGTCCCCACACCCCAGCCAAACCCCCAGCTCCCCACTCCAGAGCTGCACTCCCAATCTCTCACCCCGTGGCCATGTCCCCAGTCCACACCAGGCTCTTGTGACCAGGCCCCAGAAACCTAGCCTGGAGTTCAAGGAGTTTGTAGGGTTGCCCTGCAAGAATCAGCGGCCTTCTCCCAGGACCGGAGCTACCAAAGGAGCCCAGGAGCCCTGCCGTGTCTGGGTGAGTGTAGCCCGTCTGCAGCTGGAGGGTGGAATGAGGAAGGCCCGAGGTGGAGCTGAGAGGGAGCATGGGTAGCCTTGGATGGGGTTGGGGTCCTTGTTAGCTCTTCCCCAGACACCATACCCCTTTCAGGAACCCCCAAAGAGGCATCGTGATGGTTCTGCCTTCCAATATGAGTATGAGCCACCCTGCACGTCCCTCTGTGCTCGGGTCCAAGCTGCCAGGTGAGTTCCTGGGTCTGCCCCCACTCTTGGTCACTAGTTCCAGGCTCCATTGACTTGCAGCCATGGTTTCTTTCCAGGCTTCCTCCCCAGCTCATGGCCTGGGCCTTGCACTTTCTGCTGGATCCACAGCCAGAGTCTGAGCCAACTCCAATGTGAGAGGTCACGCAGGACAGATACCGCTCCACACTCTGCTTCCTTTGAGTTTTTTAATAAAATAATCTCATGCGGCAGGAGAGGAGAGGATCAGGGACTGGGGCCGCCGCCTCTTTGGTCTGTGGCTGGGGAGGGTGGGCTCCGCTCAGGGCTGGAGGGCTCTGTGGGCTGTGGGGGCAGATGCTCCGTTCCAAGGCCAGATCCTGTGAGGAGAGGGAGGGGGAGAGAGGAAGGTTCAGGGCTGGGCTAAGCAGTCCTGCCACCCTCCCAGCTGGCCTGGACCCCCTCTTACCTAGGCTTGGGGATGGAGGTGCCTCAAGTTTTGGCCTGCGTTTGAGGACCGGGGAGCGCTGCAGCCGCAGGGGCCGTTCTAAGGGACACAGAAAGGCTTGGGGTGGGTGCTAAGGCTCGGGGTCTGTCCATCCTCTGCCCCTCTCTTCCACCTCCAGTGCATGTAAGTATACGCTCACACACACTGCTGCCTTCAGAGCATCCCCCATCCCTGCGTCCTTACCCCTGACAGAGGCTGCTCTTCGGGACATGGAGCCAGTGCTAGTTGAAAGGGCTTGTCAAACCCTTGCACCTGGCCTTCTGGCTCCCTGATTTCTTGAGCCCTCACACACTGGTGGCTCCCTCCAAGGACCAAAGCCATGAAGGGAGCCCCAGAAGCCCACCCTCCCGCATCTCCTGCATTCAAGCACACGTGGAAGGTGTCTCCCCTCACCAGCAGGGGCCTGGAGCTGGTCCTCATGCACAGACACTGCTTGCCGCCCTGCCAAGAGAGGCCTCGGCCTCAGCTGGCCATCTGAGGGAGGCCAGGGAATCAGGGGTGTTCCAACAGCTGTCCCCACTCCAGCCCTTGCCTCCTACCCTCAGGGTCCTTAGAGGAGCCGAGTTCCCAGCAGGAACTCTTCCAGCACCCAACCCAGGATTGGGATGGGGAATCGGGTGCCTGCCTACCTTCATTCCTAGGGCCCAAGCAAGGGTCCTCTGGGAGGCCCAGGCTGTCTCGGGAGGGGCTGGTTCTGCAGGGACTTGGGCTTTGACCAGGAGAGGGAGGGCCTGGACCATCCTGTTGGCCCCAACCACGGCTCCTGAGCTCTGCATTCAACTGCTGCCCCAGTGTCTTCCAGGTGGCAGACTCAGGCCCCTGGCTTCCTGGGCAAGGTCTGCAGGAGGGGTCTGTGAGGAGAAGGGTGTCAGCCAAGACCTGGTCAGGTCTTGGAGATAGGTCTGAACAACGGTCTGACCCTGCTCCTGCCTGTCCCTGCTCCCCCTACCAACACACACAGTGGCCGTCACTCACCAGCAGACACAGAGTGGGTGCGGGACTTGATCGAGATGGGAGGGGCCTCCGTGGAACTGTCCATAATGTCACCTGCAAGGCGGAGCTGGGGACTCAGGTACCAGACCTTGGAGGCGAGGGGAAGAAACACCTGGCCTCTCCCCTTCCTCCCCCAGGAGAGCAAGTGCCTTGGGGGCTGTCTGTAAAGACACCTCCCAGCAAATATGCTGCCACACCCCAGGCTCCCACTTACCATCTGAGCCAGCTTTCTTGATTTCGCCATCTTTGCTCTGTAGGAAACAGGGCAATCAGATTCCAGCCCTGCCCTGGCCCCAAACCCTAGCCTTTTGTTCATTATTGTTCTTATAATCCAGCCACTGAATGCCCACCATGGACTGGACAAGAACATGGCAAACCCAGTCCAGCCCTCTTAGAACTCTTCGCACACTTCAATGGTTCTAAATTCAGGCCAACTTCATGCTTTGTTTTGTTTTGTTTTAAGATACTGAATGGGGCCGGGCGCGGTGGCTCAAGCCTGTAATCCCAGCACTTTGGGAGGCCGAGAAGGGCGGATCACGAGGTCAGGAGATGGAGACCATCCTGGCTAACACTGTGAAACCCCGTCTCTACTAAGAAATACAAAAAACTAGCCGGGCGAGGTGGCGGGCGCCTGTAGTCCCAGCTACTCTGGAGGCTGAGGCAGGAGAATGGCGTAAACCCGGGAGGCAGAGCTTGCAGTGAGCTGAGATCCGGCCACTGCACTCCAGCCTGGGCAACAGAGCAAGACTCCGCCTCAAAAAAAAAAAAAAAAAAAAAAGATACTGAATGGTATGGAGGACTGGGGTTCTTTGGGATTGTGATGAGAGTGACATTAGCAGGGTGGCCACAGAGGAGAGTCAGGGAAGAACCATGGGCAATGCAGGGATGGCTGAGGAGGGACCTGGTGTGACCCACAATTAGAGACTGGAAGCGAGGCAAGGAGGACATCCAGACCACCTAGGGACGTGTGTGGAGGTTCTGATTTGCACCTAGGGGAGGAAAGCAGTGAGCTTTTAAGGTGGCCAGGGCCAAGACCCCACAGGGTCCCCAAGCAGGGTGTGAAGTCTGAACAGTGTCTTGAGAAGAAGCCCCTGGAGGACTTGCTATTTCAAGTACAGGTGACAAGGTCAGATTTTTTTCTTTTTCTTTCTTTTTATTTTTTTATTGAGATGGAGTCTCACTCTTGTTGTCCAGGCTAGAGTGCAGTGGCACGATCTAGGCTCACTGCCCTGTCTCCCAGGTTAAAGCAATTCTCGTGCCTCAGCCTCCCAAGTAGCTGGGACTACAGGTGTCCACCACCACACCCGGCTAATTTTTGTATTTTTAGTAGAGACAGGGTTTTACCATGTTGGCCAGGTTGGTCTCTTAACTCCTGACCTCAGGTAATCCACCTGCCTCAGCCTCCCAAAGTGCTGGGAATACAGGCGTGAGCCCCGGCACCCGGCCCAGGCCTTAGATTTCTGTTAGACCTGCAGAGAAAAGACTTTCTCAGGTCCGAAGAGGAGATACTGTGCCTGGGTCGAGAAGCCAAGAGGGAAGAAAGGTTGATTCTGTAACCACTTTGAGGAGGACAGAGTAGAACTGACAATTAGACCTATCTGTCATGAGTCTCCTCCATCTTGGTCACATATGTCACCCACAGCATGCCACCTGCCCTCTCACTTCACGGTCATGTGCCCCCAACTCACTTGCTTCCTCTTGCCTTCGGCACCCCCGCTGCCTCGGCTGACGCCTATTCTCTGCAGCATTACTTGTACCCGCTGTTCAAAGGATGGAGCCAGCTCTGTTTCTCCCCGCTCCAGGGGCCGCCTCTAGGGACAGAGATGCTCGGGTTGGAGAGAGTCCATGCCCTGGGTCCCAGAAGTGCCTTCACCCTGCCATCAGCAAGCCTCACCTTGTCGGGTCTGGCACCCAGCGTTGCCTCCTCCTCAGCAGACAGCAGTATCATCGAGTAGGCCTTGCTATCTCTTGTGTAGCGAGGTCGGCTCCTGCGGGCAGGGTCAGGGCTGCTGGTGTCCCCCTCAGCCCCACCAGGCTCCTCACCACGGCTGGGACGGGTTGGCGGCCGCAGTAGGTCGCCAAACGTAGTTTTTCGGGTTCGGGGAGCTGCCCCAGGGCTGGTCTCTACATCAGGTCGTGGACCCCGCGTTGAACGAGGCTTCTTGAAGGCAAAGAGGGTGCCCAGCTTCTTTCGCAGTGTACGGGGGACAGGAGTGGCACCCCCCTCAGTGGCCGGGTCCTCCTCGGGGGCCCAGCTGTGGGGACACCCAGCAGTGAGTGAGAAAGCCCATCAGGCATCCCACCCTCTCCCACCCCCAGCAGATGCCCCTCACTCACAGGCGATCCTGCTGGATCAGCCTTTTAGAGAAGAATTCCTCCACGCCCTCGTCCACGCGGGCACTGAGCCCATTCCCTTCCTGCGGCAAGGCTGGGGGCACCTGGGGGGCATCATGGGGTCAGGGGTCAGGGCTGAGTGCAACTCTGGCTTCTCCCCCGCCCCTGGCCGACAGCCTGGACTGAGTAACTCCAGGATTCCAGACTGGGATGACCCTAGGGGCTGCTGATACCAGCCTCCTACTGTCCTGCTGCTGGACACAGACGCCAGATTTCACACACTCCTCACCCGCTGCTGGCTCCCGCACACCCAGTCCACACCCGTCCTTGTCCCACAGAGTATCCTACATGCCCGAGCCACCCGGTCACCAGCAAACCTAGCCCCCACGTGTCCCCGGGGTCACCCATTCCCACTTGCCACCAGCTCTGCTCCGAACAGTTCCCTGCAGTGTCCCCCACCCCACCCCCACTCCACCCGGCCTGCTGCCGGCTCAGTGGCGCCGGCTGCTGCGTCAGACCCTCTGGGGGGCCTCAAGCCAGCTCCTCCCCGCCCTCCGCCAGTGCCCGCTGCCCCCGCAGGCTTGCAGCCCACACACGCATCTCCCCACACGCGCCGCCGCCGGACGCTCAGCAGACGCAGGCTTGGCCCCGCGGCCCGGCTACCCGGTGTCCGGCATCTCTCAGCAGCCCCGGGGGAGGGAGGGAGGACGGACACCCTCTCTCGCGCAGCCACGGAGGCCGCGGGCCGCCCCGAGGCGGAGTCCCACACCCAGGCACACCCCGAACGGAACCCGCACACCCATGGTCCCGCACAGGCATGGCCTGGGGTGGGGTGCGGGGTGACCAGGAAGAAGCCAGGATGTGACCGCGGCCGCACGACCAGGTGGCCTTGGGCCCCTACCAACCCCTCTCCTTGACCGCCACAACCCATGAGGAGCGGCCGGGCCACCTGCGATCCCCAATTACACGCGCTCCGGAGTGGGGGAAGGGTGCTCACCTGGGGGCCCCCCGGCGGCGGGCGGTGGTGGTGCTGGCGGCGCGGCCGCGGCCGGGCCCGGGTCGGATGGCGCAGGGGCTGCCCCGCCGGTGGCAGGTCCATGCGGGGCAGTGGGGCGGCCGGGGGCCCGGGGGCGGCAGGGCTCGGAGAGCCGCGCGCAGACGGCCCAGCCTGCGGCTCTGCATCTTCTCCCGGAGCCGCCAGCTCGGGCTCCGGCTCCGCTTCCTCAGCAGCACCTGAGGGGACAGCACCAGAAGAGCACCGAGCGCCGAGCCCGGGGAGGTGGCGGCGGAGGCGCTAGGGCGGCGGGGGACCCGCCCAGGGCGCGGGGAGGGGCCCGGCTACGCCGCCCGTCCCCCCGCCCCTCCGCCCCTCCCCCGCCACCGCCGCTGTCCGTGGTGCTGAGCGCGGCCCCGAGCGCGCGCGGCTCCGCGCCGCCGCCAAGCATGCGCGTCCCGGGGGTAGGCAAAGGGGCATGGGGGAGGCGAGTCGAGCCGGTGTCCTGTCCCTAGTCTGCCCAGGTCCCGCCCGGGGCTGACTACAGCAGACCCCAGCTTTGCAAGTTGCACGGGGGTCCTGGCCTGGCCCAGTCAAGGGCTGGGGGGTACCCAGACAAGGCTGAATGAATTCATCCAGGTACCCGGGTCCCCAATCTAATGGAGCTTCAGCCCACCCATGTAAACTCCCTTCCCCAAGGTCCTGACTTACTTTGAATGAAGGGAACCAGGTGAAGACCGTGGCTGAGCTCAGGCCATTTCTGTGGAGGACTGTCATCCTGGTGGAGAGGGCACAAACTCAGCCTGAGGTAGGAGAGCACCACCCCAAAAGAACTGCCTTTCACCTTCCACACTCCACAGCAAGATGGGAAGATTGGGAGTGCTATGCCCCGTGTTCTAAAACTACTTACCTTCTCCTCCTCTTCCTTCTCCTCCTCGGGGAAGAAAATACCTCCCAATTCCCCAGGCTCAAGGAGGCCGGGCTCACCTCCATCTGGTGCCGGTAGGGCAGAGGGCATTGTCACTGTTGCCTGATGAGCCAGACTCTCCACCTGCAATACCAAGCAGCCAAAGATGGCAGGTAGGGCCTCAGCCATGATCCCATTGGTGCTAAGGGGACCCTGAAATAGCCCTACGCTACATGACCCCAGAAGACATTACAGAGCCCCTGCAAGGGAGATGGCCAAGTCACTGCACGTGTGTGTGTGCACAAAAGTGTGTGCACATCTCCCCCTCACCAGCTGATCCCGCGCTGCACTCAGGCCTGCCAAAGCCTGAGCCACAATGCTCTCTGCCAAGGTCCCTGTGATTGATAGCCGCATATCCCTAAGGGCAGGAGAGGACAGGGGTTAATGGGCTGGCTTTGCTTAGCCTTGCCCAGCCCAGCCCCATCCAGCCTACCTGAGCCTAGTGAAGGCATCTTGCAGCAGCTGCTCTGGGAGCAGCTCTGGGAGGCCCCTCGAGCCTGCCAGGACCCCCTCTAGCTGCTCCCTCCAGTTGGATCCCTGCAGCATCTGTGGGCAGAGGCTCCTTGCTGTGTCCAGTGTGGCCTGAGTGAAGTCCTGGACAAAGGTCAGAGCATGGTGAGGATATGTCCAGACACCAGGTTGCTGGCTTGAGGCTCCAACTCCAACAGAATATTGAGTCAGGGGATATCATAGTTAAAACTAAAGGATGGGGGTCAAACCTGCGAATGGAGGTGGGGCTGGGGCAGGAGTACCCTCTCACCTGGATGTCCTGGCGGCAGACCTCGCCCACCTGTCCCAGAAGGCCCTCCAGCTTCTGCCCAAGCTGCCAGTGATGGCTTGGGGAGCTTCCAGCTTCATATAGAATGGGGAGAATCTGAGGGCCAAAGAGGAAAAGCAGTTGCAAGCTGACAGCTGACTAAGAGGGGAAGGGTCCTTGTAGCAGGAGGCGGAGTGCTCACACTGAGAGAGAAGTTGGCATTTTGGATGGCATCCTCAGCCTGGCGCACAGCGGCTTCACCCTGGGGCCCAGACCCACAGCCCAGCAGCTCCACATGCTCCTGCACCGACTGACACAATTCATTCACTTCCTGGGGGGGAATGGGGATCAGTCTCAGCCTAGCTCCCTCCCAGTTTCCCAGATCCTGCCTGCCTTCCTCCCAGGCTCTTTAACAGAGGGAAGTCCTGAAGCTGGCACTCTTAGACCAGCCAATTTGGAACCCTATCTGTTCAAGGAGGGAAGGAACTATCTGTTGCTTTGGTTCATTTTAAGGACTTTATATATACTTCCTAAGTGCCCAGAATAGGAAGGAAAGCAGTTGTAAATCATGTCTGTGTTTTAGAAGCTCAGTCTGTCCACACAGAGGACAGACTGGGAGAGGGGTGGAAAAGGGAGTGAGTAGCCCTGGAGGAGGGACCAGGAGGAGCAAGGGAATAATTGGTGTGGGGGTAAAGAGTGGCACGTTTGAAGGTTGGTCTAGAGGCAGGACGAAGGAGGGCTATGAGGGCTCCAGTGTGACCAGGAGAGACCTGGAAGGATGCCCCAACCTCTGTCCACAGCACTGGGTGGCTGTGGGCACCAGTGTTATTGGGCTCCAGGGTAGAGAACAGGGTTTGTAGAAGACGATGACATCACTTGGAGAAGTGCAGAGCATGAAGCTCTGCAGGATGTCTGGATTAAGACCTTTGGGCTCTGCAGCTTAGGAAAGAAGAGGTATTTGGGAATGGAGAGGTGGAAACACCTCCAATAGATAAGGTAGTGGAGGGAGATGAAGACAGTGAAGCAGCAGCTGGGTTTGGACACACCATGGAGAGGAGAGGGGAGCTCTGAATATGTGAGGTCAGAGATGGGGTTACAATTGGGGGAAAACTGAGGGAGGACATAAAAATTCCTCTTTAACAGGACACCCTGTTTACATGCTTAACGTTACGCAACCAAGGGTGTCATTGGAGAGCTATTTAAGGGGTGTTTAGCAGTCTCCAGATCAAGGAGAGGGACTTTGTCTGGGACAGCAGGGTTCAGGCACTCTGGCTCCAGGAAAGTCAGACCCTCTGACTCATGGAGGCTCCCGGATGCCACAGGTCTCCTCATGCCCTACCTCTCGTGGTTGGGGAGGGGACACTGACCTGCTCTGAGGGGTCTGAGACCAGACCGAGTGGCTGAAGGCAGGTCGTGTGGTCAGAAGAGGCAGGGTCTGCGCGGTTGTTCCTCAAGAGACAGGCTTGGATCTAGGGGTAAGGGGTATTGAGAAATGCCGAGGGACAGAGCCAGGGTGCAGAGAAGGACAAGGGAAGAGGGGGACGCCCACCTGATGGACTGCACGTGCTGTCAGTTCAGGGCGGCTGCGCTGCGCCTGGGCCACGTCGTTCAGTGGCAGAGGCATGGCCTTCAGGCTGTGGTTCTGCTCCAGCGCCTGTGCCACGTCCAGCAGACCCAGAGCAGATGTGTGGTTCCGGTCCCAGACCACAGACCTGGGCCGGGCCTGGCTTCAGTCGGGGACAGAGCTCCACAACGCCCTACCCAACCCTCGGCCTCGTCCGTTCGCCTAGTCTACCTGCACCATTTGCTCCGCCTCATTCAGTCCCGCCCCTTAGCCCGGTACCCTCCTCTCCACCGCGCCCCCTGCCCGCTGGTCCCACCCCTCTGACCCCGCCCACCGGAGCCTGGAGTTGACCCGGAGCGCCTTGGCCAGCAACTTGGCGCCCGCGTCCCCCATGGCGTTGCCGCTGATATCCAGCGCGGTCAGGTTAGGATTGGTGGCTAGGGCCCGGAGTAGGACGCTGGCGCCCAGCTTCAGCCGAGACTCAGCCACTGACAGAGACTGAAGAGGCTGGGGTTAAGAGAAAGCCATTGATGGCTGGAGTCAGGGGTCAGTGAGGGCAGGTCACAGGGTCTGAGGGAACAAGAGAAGGGAGGACCAAAGGGGTCTAATTGCCCGAGGACCCTGCAAGGTCCCGTGAACTCACACAGTCGTCGTCCTGCATGAGCTGGACAATCCGGTGCAGGACGTCGTCCAGGGTCTCCCTGTGGGCAGGGGCCGCAGTTGTGGGGGACAGGGGTGGTAGGGTGTTGTCTGGGAGGCCCAGGAGTGGGGTGGGGGCTCACTTGCACCGGACGTTGAAGTTCCTTCCAAGCGCCACATGTCTCAGGGACCGGCTTCTCCCGATGGCCAGCACCAGAGTCACCATGTCCGAGCCGAAGCCTGGGGGTGACTCGGGTCACGCACGAGGCGAAGTTGCAAGGATAGGGTGGGGACTGGGAATCGAGTGGATGATGCGAGGATGGGCTCCCGTGCAGCCTCACCGTTATCCGCCAGATCCAGGGAGCTCACAGCGCCTGCGTCACACACTAAGTCTTGTATCACCTGGGCGCCGGCCGAGCGCAGCTGGATGTGGGAGGTTGGAGATGGGACCCACTCAGGCCGCGAGTGGGGAGGGGTAGGCGGCCCACGGCCCTGCCCTCCCGCCTCCAGCGCCACTCCCAATGTGTGTTCTCTGGGGGCCGGCGCTAACCTCGCAAGCGCTGAGGTCCAGGTGCAGGTCGCGGAGGTGCGTGTTGAGCGCGAGGCCATCCAAAAGAGCCCTGGGAGGGGACGTTACAGGGGATGGCGGGAGCTGGGACAGGGGGCTCCAGGGTGCGAATGAAGGAGGCAGGGCCAGGATCTGGGGGAGGTTGTGGGAGCGACCGGAGCAGGAGCGGGGAGGGGCGAAGGCCAGGGCGGGGTTGGAGCGCCCGCGGGGCGTGGCCGGGGTCAGACACTGACCTGAGCGCGTCCGGCGGCAGCTTGCAGCCCGCCAGGCCCAGGTGCCGCAGCGTCCGCGCGCGGCTGAGGAAGAGCTGCAGCGCGGCCGGCGCAGCGCGGGACTTCCTGAGGGAAGTGGGAAGGTGGGCCTGGGGGCGCAAGGAGGCGGCTTCCAGCTGCCTCCCCCGGCCCGGACAGGTCCCCCTTACGTGCGGGAGAAGACGTTCCTCGAAGCGTCGAGGTGGGTAAGGCTGGTGCAGCAGCCTCGGGACAGCGCTGCGAAGAGCTGCGGGGGGGAGGCTGTTGGCTGCACCCGCTGGGGGACCGAGCCCTCCCTGTCCTGCCCTCCAGTCCGCCCTGTCGGTCATCCATCCCCCCACGGAGCACCCCCTCACAGTGTCCAGGGCGGTGTCGGTGCCTGCGAGATTCAGGAACGACAGCACGTTAGGACGGCTCAGGAAGCTATAGAGGCCCTGGCGGGAGGACAGGGGTGGGATGGAGTCGGGGATGGCCTCCCAGGGCTTCTGAGCAACCCCAGGCTCCCACCCTGAAGACAGTCACTTACCCCACTGTCCTCGGAGGACCCCAGTGCCCCGGGATTCCCGGAAAGGTCCAGGTGGGTCAGGGCGGAGTCGAAGGCAGCATTGGTGGCCAGTGCCCGGCCCAGAGCCCTCATTCCTGGTGGTGGGGTGGGGTGGCTCAGCAGTTGGGCAGACCCCCACCCCCCTCCCCTCACCCCCTCCCTCATCCAGCCTACCTCGCGGCGTCAACCCTGTCTGGGCGAGGCTGAGTCTCCTCAGGGCTCCTGGACAACGCTCGAGGTGTCTGCTGAGTGCAGCCATGCCTAGGGGGTGGGACCAGCCACGTGGGTCTCACCTCCTCCTGCTGCCCGCCCCTGTGGTCCCCAGGCTCATCCATACCTCGGTCATCCAGCAGGTTCCCTGCCAGGCTGAGCTCCCGCAGCCCAGAGCTCGAGTGTCCCGCCAGAGCCTGGGCCAGTCGTCGGACAAAGTCTCTGGGGACCAGACCCCAGTCATGAGATTCTGCCCCTGGCTTGCCAACCCCTTCCAGTCCACTAACCCCCAATCCCAAGCCCCCAGACTCTACTCTCCAAGCCCTGCCCTGTCCCCTCACCCCCTCAGGCCGCAGGTCTCCAGCACCAGCTCCTCCAGGTGTGATGACTGACTCATCATGTGTAGAATCTGTTCTGAGACCTCAAGGCTCTGAGAAGCAGAGGGTGGCGGCTCACAGGCTGCACCCTGGCCCTCAGCGGGTTGCACCCTGGCTCACACCCTTGGCCCCTCCCTGCCCTTACCCCCCACCCCCTCACCAGTTTCATGTCAACACAGGAGAGGCACCGGAACCACAGGTTGTAGGATAGGGCAGCCACACTCAAGGCCAGGTCCCTGGTGGGAGGGTGGAAAGAGAGGCAGAGCTCAGGGCCCTCCAGCCAGGTCCCAGGCCCAGCAGCCCCTCCATGCAGAAGATGAGGCCTAGGGATATGGGCCCTGGGATCTTCCTCCTCTCCCATCCTGGCAGGCTGCACACCGACTGCCGAGGTGGCTGAAGTCTCCCAGGCTGAAATGGCGGCAGCCCTGGCGATAGTAGATGGTGTCCACGTCCTGGGCAAGAAGGAGATGCTTACAATTTGCTTGGGACCACAAGGGGCAGGGAGGGGCTCAGCACACATGGGGGACCAGATGTCTCCAGAGCCCTCCAAAAGGGCCCTACCCTCACCCACTGAATCTCCTCTCGGAAAGGGAAGCCATTGTAGTCACACAGAGCCTCATATGTCTCCAAGAAGCCACCTGGGGAGGGGACAGGGGTGCAATGGGGAGAAGGAGAGAGACAAAAGGTCAGCAATGGAGGAAGACCAGACCCACAGGCTAGGTGGTGGCTGTGACCTGAATGGCTCTGTTCAGTGTGGGGCCCCCGCATCTTGCGGGTCTGGGGAGGCAGAGTTGGGGCAGGCTGGAAGGCCTGTGGTCCTGCCTTTGCCCTTACCACAGGGGCTGCAGGGGCCAGTGGACTCCAAGGGGCTGCTTCTCTCCAGCCGAGCCAGCATGGAGGCAGGTGTGGGCCTCCGGAATAGCTTCCTGGTAGGGGGTTAAGCAGAAGGAGGCGAGGGACTTCCAGCCTCTGGGATGGGAAGCAGCCCTTCTCATGCACTCCCTCCTCCTTCCCTGTCAGCCCCTCAAATTTGCCAGGCCTCACCCAAGGGTCGAGCGAGGGAAGACCTTCTTGATGGCTGCAGCCACATGCTGAGCCAGCTGTTCCAGGGCAGCCACACCAGGAAACTCCAGGACCAACTCCCGCAGGGACTCCAGCTCAAAGGTGACCTAGGGAAGGGGGACTACTGGGCCTCGGCTCCACGCATGGGCACAGGTGATGGTGGTAGCATGAAGACCAGGCTGCAGGCCCAGGTGGGGTACTAGATGTCTCACCTGAGGGGGTGTCTCCTGCAGCGCCATGGCCTGGACCTCCAGGTAGCTGAATGTGCAGTCCACCTAGGAAGCGCCTAGATCAGCTGGGACCAAGCCCCAAACCCCGCCTTCATGGAAGCCCAGTCCTTTGGGCAGCCTGGAGCACAGCCAGACCTGCCTGGACTCCACTCCTGTTGGCTGCCCGGAGCCGACTGCTGGTGCAAAGTCAGGGCCCACAAGGCCAAGAAGGACCGCAGATGCAGCCCCTTGCCGAGGTAGCTGCTGGAGGGTGGGAGGTGTGGCCAGGCCCTGGGACTCACCCTCAGCGGGAGGCAGGTGGTGTGTAGCAGGTAGGCTCTCCATCGTAGCAGCGCCTGGGGAAAGACAGTCTGATACCCTGGGCAGAACAAGAGGCTCTTTCTGTGGGGCCACAGCTGCCTCCCCGGCTCTGTCCCCTGCCCCATACCAGGACATGGTTTTGCACAGCACCCTCCCCGGGTAGCCAGGTTTTCAGCAGCAGCTCCACCTCTTTGGGCCACAGGAATCTGGTGATCTCGCCTGTGGAAGGGCAGCCTGCTGGATGACTTCGGTCCTTGCACATAAGCCACTGGTGCCCGCAGTCTGTGCCAGGCTGGGGCCCTGGGGCTAATCTGCGGCCAGCGAGGAAGGAAGGGAGAGGATCTGGGGCGCCCGCCCTCCTGGGGAGCAGAGAGAACCTCTGACCGGGCCCTCCGGGGCGCTGGGTGGGCCTCTGATTTTGGGGCTGCACTACTTCCTCCCGGCCAAGAAGGCGGGAAGAGCCAGTGCTTACCTCGCAGCTCACAGGAGATGCCGTCGGGGGTCTGGGCCATGGGCAGGGTGGGCCCGGGAGGCCCAACGAGCTCCGGCGGGAAACAGCAGCGGACGAGCGCGCACACAGGAAGCCAGGGGCCCCGACCCGCACGGCAGCCACCTGCTCCCCCGGCGGCGGAAAGTGCGCGCAGCTTCCTGCCAGGCCGCCCCCGGCCCGGCCCCTCCCCGCCCCGGCCTCGCGGCCCTAGAGTTCGCCAGGGAGCGGGGTTGTGGGAGGGGGGCCGAGTCCCACCTGCCCTCCCACCCTGTCGCCCAGGAGCTTCTCCGCCAGGGTAGACGTCGCGGTGGGGAATGGTGTGGCCAGGAGGGTGGCGCGTGTGGCGGGCCTCCAGCTGTTCCTGGCCCCCTGCTTCCACCCCGCCCCGCAGTCCCTGCCGCGAACACCAGGGGACGCTGCCTGCCCGGGGATCCCCGCGGCCCACCCAGGCTGGTCCCCTCCAAAGCCCAGGCTGCGGAGGTGGACAGGTGGACGAGGCGCCTGGCAGAAGGGGGACTGTTCAGCAAGGAGCGCCCGATATCTGCCAACACCGGGGGTCCTGCCCGTTGCTCCGAACCTGGAGTCCGTGACCGTGTTACAGATCCAAGAGATTTTGAATAGGTGGGAAAAAATGCCAGATGGGGCCGGGCGCGATGGCTCACGCCTGTAATCCTAGCACCTTGGAAGGCCGAGGCGGGAGGAACGTTTGAGCCAAGGAGTTTGAGACCAAGCTGGCCAACACAGGGAGACCGTGTTTCTACAAAAAATAAAAATAAAAAAAAAATTAAAAAAAATAAATTAAAACTTAGCCGGTGTGATGGCGTGTGTCTGTAATCCTAGCTACTTGGGAGGCTGAGGTGGGAGGATCGCTTGAGCTTGGGAGGCAGAGGTGGTAGTGAGCGGAGATTGCACAACTATACTCCAGTCTGGGTGACAAAGCCAGGTCCTGTCTGAAAAAAAAAAAAAAGCCTGATGGGTCCAGCGCCCTTCCTTGCCGCAGTGGTGAGGTCAGGGCTGAAGGTGAGGGTGTACCTGGGGCCTTCAGTGGGGCAGCCTGGGGCTGAGTCCTGAACCCCAAGCACTTCATAGAGGGCCGGAGTGAGTCCTCCAGGTATATGGGGGGTCTTCCTGTGTCTGCCTTCTCCCCAAGCTGGACAGAGTTTGGGAGGGGCAGCCAGAGAGAGAGAGAAGCTAGTGTCTCCAGGGCTGAGAGGGGTCAGACAGTCATGGGGTAGGGCCTGCTGGCCTGTTGCCCTCTAAAAGACCAGGACCTAGATTCTGGAAGGTTCACAGGAAGAGGCTGCATTTTTTTTTCTTCTATTACAATCTAAACTCCACTTAAGCGGTAAGGATCAGCAGTCTACCCTGCCCGTAGCTCAGCAAGGTGGAGGTGAAAAGACAGCTAAGGGTGAAAGGGAGGAGTCAGCTGGAGAAGATGCTGCACAGAGAGTTCCTGCTGCCTCCCCGATTGAAGAGACATACTTGGTTGGTTGGTTTGTTTGTTTTGAGACAAGAGTCTTGCTCTGTGGTCCAGGCTGGAGTGCAGTGGCACAATCTTGGCTCACTGCAGCCTCTGCCTCCCAGGTTCCAGCGATTCTCCTCCCTCAGTCTCCTGAGTAGCTGGGATTACAGGCACCCACCATCATGCCCAGGCTAATTATTATTATTATTAGGGACAGAGTTTCGGTCTTGTTGCCCTGGCTGGAGTGCAGTGGAGAGATCTTGGTTCACTGCAACCTCTGCCTCCCGGGTTCAATCAATTCTTCTGCCTCAGCCTCCCAAGTAGCTGGAATTAGGCACGTGCCACCACACCCAGCGAATTTTTGTATTTTTAGTAGAGATGGGGTTTCACCATGTTTGTCAGGCTGGTCTCCAACTCCTGAACTCAGGCAATCCGCCCACCTCAGCCTCCCAAAGTGCTGGGATTACAGGTGTGAGCCACTATGCCTGGCCACGAAGAGACATAATTTGGATTAAAATCTAAGGCTCGAAGACCACACAGAACCCTCAAACTGCTTGTAGGGTGACAATTCAGTAGGTCTCACACAGTACTGCCAAGGAACCAAGAATGCAGGTTCTAGCCAGGTGTAGTGGCTCATGCCTATAATCCCAGCACTTTGGGAGGCCAAGGTGGATCGCCTGAGCTCAGGAGTTCGAGACCAACCTGGCCAACATGGTGAAACCTTGTCTCTACTAAAATACAAAAAGCTGAGCGTGGTCATGAGCACCTGTAGTCCCAGCTACTGGGGAGGCTGAGGCACGAGAATTGCTTGAGTCCAGGAAGTAGAGGTTGCAGTGAGCCAAGATCTCACCACTGCACTCCAGCCTGGGTGACAGAGCAAGACTCCATCTCAAAAAAAAAAAAAAAAGCAGATTCTGCAGGCACACTGCCTAGATGACACCTAACATGTTACTTAGCCTTTCTGGTCTTCCAGTTTTGTTTGTAAGCCGGAGCTATTAACTAACCTCAAGCCTTGCTCTAAGGATTCAATGTTTATTAAGGGAAGTGCCCACAACAGTGCCTGGCACTCAGATAACACTCACATTTGCCAAGTCTACCATGACAACCCAGGGATTCCAAAACAGAATGACAGAAAATCCACCTCACTGGGATTTTTCTGTTTAGAATGACAAGGAGGAAAGATGAGAGTGACTGCCAAAAGGGTTGGAGTCATGCCCAGGTGGAAGGCCTCTGGAGGCTGCAGCAACGCCAGTGGGGCCAGTCCCTGTGTGTGTGAGCACATGGGGGCAGGCAGGGACAACTGAGAAATCAGGCCAGGCTTTCAGGACTAGCCACGTGGCTGGTGGCAGTCAGGGCGGTAGTAACACAGCAAACCTGATCTCAGAGACCAAGTGAACACATGGGACTCAGTTCTTACAAGTGACAGTGACTCAATGAGAAGTTGTCAGCTTGTTCAAGCCCTTCTGTGTTCTGGATGGCATGTTACTCCATGGGCGTTCAGGAAATGCCAAAGCTCCTGAGAGTATTAGCCTTGCCTGTTCTGGGTAGCACAGGCTGAGGATGAGACTTGCCTCCCAGGTGGGCCGGGCTACGCCCCCTTGGTGCTGCCACAAGGCTTACCTCAGATGATTTTCGAAGACCAGGTCCTGACAAGCCAGAGAAGAGCTCAGGTACTTGCTGAGCTGGGCAGCAATAGGGTGGTGATGCCAGCCCATGGGTGAAAAGGGCATAGATTCTTTACTTCTGTGGCTTAACAGTGAGGGAGCTGCACGCGGGTTCAGGAACTTCCCCGTCAACAGTTCTCTGGGTTGCAGTAACAAAACTGGCTTCTGCTGCTAAAGGTTTTATAATTAAGGGTCAGACAGGATGCATCCTGGGCTATGCAGCAGGAGGATCCCTTTTCAGCCTTAACTCCCCCACAATGTCAATTCTTTTGCCCCCTCCCAAGCTAAAACAAATCCACTTACAGAGGGCCGGGAGTGGTGGTGCACGCCTGTAATCCCAGCAGTTTGGGAGGCCGAGGTGGGCGGATCATGAGGTCAGGAGATGGAGACCATCCTGGCCAACACGGTGAAACTCCGTCTCTACTAAAATTCAATTAGTCAGGCGTGGTTGCATGCGCCTGTATTCCCAGCTACTGCAGAGGTTGAGGCAGGAGAATCGCTTGAATTTGGGAGGCAGAGGTTGCAGTGAACCCAGCTCGTGCCACTGCACTCCAGCCTGGCAACAGACAGAGACTCTTATCTCAAAACAAACAAACACCTTTCAAACAGAATATGTACAATCAGGAATGACAGGCGGTGTTGAAAAACTGAGCCTCGTTGTTCTGCAAAAAGGTTATATATGCTTAGGTGGCTGGGCATGGTGGTTCATGCCTATAATCCAGCACTTTGGGAGGCTGAGGCAGGAAGATCACTTCAGTCCAGGAGTTTTGAGACTAGCCTGGGTAACATAGCAAGACCCTATCTCTACAAAAAAACTAAAAAACAAAACAAAACAAAACAAAAATGAGCCAGGTGTGATGGCATGGCCTGTAGTCCCAGCTATCCAGGAGGCTGAGGTAGGAGGATTGCTTGAGCCTAGTTCGAGGTCAGTGAGTTGTTTGTGCCACCACATCCCAGCCTAGGTGAGAGTGAGACCCTGTCTCAAAAAAAACTTGGAATTAAAAAAAAGTTGGGGCCAGGTGTGGTGGCTCATGCCTGTAATTCCAGAACTTTGGGAGGCTGAGGTGGGCGGATCACCTGAGGTCAGGAATTCGAAACTAGCCTGACCAAGATGGTGAAACCCCATCTCTACTAAAAATACAAAAATTAGCTGGGTGTGGTGGTGGGTGCCTGTAATCCCAGCTTCTCAGGAGGCTGAGGCAGGAGAATCCCTTGAACCCAGGAGGTGGAGGTTGAAGTGATCCGAGATTGTGCCACTGCACTCCAGCTTGGGTGACAAAGTGAGACTCCATCTCAAAAAAAAAAAAAAAAAAGAAAAAAAAAGTTTTGGCTGACTGGTGGTGGGTACCCTGGTGGGTAAACCATGGATGGGAGACAGAACTCAAGCTCCAACAGACCAAGACCACTAACTTTCAGAGCAAGGAGTTCACTGCCTGGCTGAATCCCGAGGCCCCAGGAGGCCCTGGGTTGTTTTCCTGGGAGACCCATCTGTGTGGACAGCACTAAGCAGCCAAAAGCTTCACATATTTTGCTGTTACTTCTCATTGAAAACTTGCAAGTTGGAATTTTGGTTAAAAAACTCGAGTAAGTGGTTTAAACTTTCACCTAAAGTGGGTTTGCCAAAGCAATCTGCCTAGAAATGGCAGCAGCAGCAAAATGATTTTCCAGTCACGCCTAAGATTCCAAACACGACACAACTCCATCCACCTTCCTGGGGTGCTAATAGGCAGTTCTATTATCTAAGACAGTCTCCTCACTACCCAGTGGTTGTGCATCTGTCTCTCCTTTCAAATGAACTTCTCTAGGGCAGGCTGGGTCCAGCTTCTCTGTTCCCTCACACCTGCCAGAGCTCCAGGTACATCTGATCCCAGGTCTCCTTGAGCTGAGATGCTGAGAGCCTCCCATTAGCCCCTTTCACTCTAAGCAGCTCTATGGCCCATCTACTCTGTGCACAGGGCACCTACTCAAGTGGATCACAGAAGCTGGCTGCCGTCCATCTACTCACCTGTACTCAAACACACTTTTTGAGGAGTTAGAGAGTTACAGCAGGGGCTGGGTGCGGTGGTTCACGCCTGTAATCCCAGCACTTTGGAGGCTGAGGCGGGCGGATCACGAGGTCAGGAGATTGAGACCATCTGGCTAACACAGTGAAACCCCGTCTCAAATACAAAAAATTGGCCAGGCGTGGTGGCAGGCGCCTGTAGTCCCAGCTACTCGGGAGGTTGACACAGGAGAATGGCGTGAATCCAGGAGACGGAGGTTGCAGTGAGCCGAGATTGCGCCACTGCGCTCCAGCCTGGGCAACGGAGCGAGACTCCATCTCAAAAAAAAAAAAAAAAAAAGTTATAGCAGGATGTGCTCAATATCCAGTCACCCACCAAGATCATATCCTC